GTGACTGATGCATCTAGGTTATTCTTAGTTAACATAAACTAACAACCTGTGGTGGTGCCAGTTTTCTGGTATAATTGTTGAAGAGTAATGATTACATAGTATGACAGATGATAAGAAAGTAGTGTCATTTACTGAACTTGGATTTTGCAAGATAGGTTTAAAAATTCTGATTTTGTTCTCTGGCATGTTAGGCTTGAGCAAGTCACTGATCCTCTCATTTTTCGGATTTTTTGTTGTTTGTTTAGTTTTTTTAACTGTAGAATTATTCCAGATATTTCCTTTTTATAGTCCATTGAGTAGAAACTTCTTTTCCAAAGATATTTATATCCAGTTCCTATGTCTGAATTATTGTATGAAATATACTTAACATTTTATGTTCAGAATGCCTATAAGCATTTGACTTCTAATCATTGGGTTAGTTTTAAAATAATTTATGGAGAAACTATTGTACTTAATGGTTTATCCTAGTGTGTTTTGCCGGTATTCTTATTAACAGCCAGAATGCCAGAATTTGTTCTTAACTACCCACACAAAAGGCCAAAAACCAATCCCCAGCTTTTGAGAAAATATGTCTTTATGACCATAAGAAGATATTCTTTGAGAGTCAGTGAACCTAACAGATTTTGTTTTTATGAGCACCACTGTTTGAGGATATCAGTCACCTTTAAGAGATGTGGATTTATTGTAGTTACCTTGTTTTTTCTTGTTTATTGTAGTTATCTTGTTTTTTTTCCAGCCACCTTCAAACAGAATTCCAAATGCAATAACAGCTTATTTGTTTAAAAAATACTTAACTTCCAAAATTAGAATTTCTATGCCAAAGGAGGTTTTGATCACTATACATAATGCACTGCTTTTAGACTGACCTTTGTCATACAGGCCACAGCAGCTAAGATCTAAAGGATGGAACTAGACTAACTGCTTCCTTAGTCTCTGTCTCCAGCTGCTCAGCACCTTCAGCTCTGCCCATCCTAGGGGCATTTTTTTAAAAAAAAAAAGATTTATTTATTTATACAAGAACTGGGGTACAGGCCAGATGCGCGGGAGGGTGAGAGGATTCACCAGAGACAGAGCGGGCAACAGAACAGACTGATGAAATACACTGCTGAGGGGAGCAGCGGGCATGACAGGAGAGGTCCGCCGCACCATGTGGGACCCTCCCCGGTCGACCGGGATAGAACTGGCGCTGCAGGGCCTATGGACAGTTTCATAATGCGGTGCTCAACTGCCTGCACCACCAGGGTAGGCCCCCATCCTAGGGTTTTTACAGGTACTAGTAACTGGTGATCTTTTCCTGACCCACTGCTGGTAGTTTCTTATTAGAATCAAAATCAACCCTTTTTGTTTAATAGTTTCTTCTAATGTGGGTTCCCATGAGACTGCTTTCAAGGGTGAAAAAGAAGTAAGATCTACAAAAGATCCTTTCCTGGCCATCTTTATTCTGATAGAGTACAGCAGCATAGCTTAACTCTTCCTGCTGGTCTTTTTTTTTTCCCTTTTTGTTGGCTCTTGAATATAAGACTGTATTCTCTTAGCTAAGTTTAAATGAAGTCTCTGCTCCTCCCCCTAACCACAGTAGGACCTGGATATTTACAGAGTCAAACACTCATATTGTCCATTGTGGAGGGCTTCTCTGGGAATCCATGTCAGCATGAACCCCAGAGGTATTACAAGGGATGAAGGAGACAGCAAAGTGGTCTTAATTTTACTCACAGGAGTGTGAGCTAGCAAGCTGACAGCACAGCCCGGACGAGTGAGGTTCCCAATGTAACTACTAGAGATCGTTCCCAGCTCTAGACTTAAATCTATACATAAGATTCACAATAACACCGCAAAGGTGGAATGGATCCCAGACAGGAAAATAGACAGTTAATGAAGAGTGCCCCACATCTGCACCCCCAAAAGAAGTCTTAATAGGTACATAAGTGTAAAATATATACATAGCTGTAGGACATTCTCTCATCTTTTAAAAAACATGTTACAAGATGAGTTCCATTCAACTTTCCCATTAGGCGCAAGAATTCCCAGTGAAGTTATTCTGATTGTAGATGTTGCATGCTGACACTAATGCTGAATAGCTAAAAAGGAACCCTGCTCGTAATTAAGAATAGGACAGAGCCTAGTATGAGCTGTCACCTTGGAGTGAGCTGAGCATGGATGAATGTGATAAAAGCGCATGCATATGTGCCATACCATTGCAACTGACTCCCAAAGATACCGTACCTGCTAAAATTGTGCTAAATCTGAAAGAGGTACGATTTTAGCCAAAAAGACTAAATATAAACCTAGTTTAAACCCAGATTGTAATCAGCTCAGTCTTGAAATGAATTTAGTGGATTATAACCAGCACTTTTTAAATTGAAACAGGCTAGGAAATAATAAGAGTACATTACGTGTAATGCAATTAGGTTATGTGTGAAATTTGCTGTATGCATATATTGGCCATATTAAATATTTGTTAGGGTGAGTGGCTGTCAGAAACATTGAAAAGCACTGCCTTAGTTTGTAATAATTTTTTATAAATTTACTACAACCAGAAAAGTAAATGTCCATTTCCCATCTTTTATATCAACCCATAAAAATCACCTGTGCCCCAAATGGGACTAAAATTTGCTCTTCTATGTGCTTAAAACAATTGCTCCAGATAGCTGTGTGAATTTTTCCCTCACAATTTTCAGATCTCTGCTCAAATCCACCTTCCCTGACATCTCTTTAAAAAAAAGGCATCCCTGCTCCATGGTACCACGTGATATAGCCAAGACATGGGGAGAGGGGAAGTTTGGTGGCACTGGTGCGATTGTGAAGGCAGAGCAATAATTATGTTCTGATAAAGATTTGAAGGAGAAACAATAATAAAAGGTTCAGATGTATAACCAAGAGCACAGACTAGCTGCTTGCTGACTTTGTATCCTGCTCTCTGAATCGGGTTGAGCAGCATTCACTCTCAGGGACTAAGTTCCCATCTATAAAATAGGGACAACAATAGTGCCAACTCCTTGGGTGCTTATTGTAAGAAAGAAGTGAATGAATATGTGCAGAGCTTAGACTAGTGCCTGGCAGAGAAGGGGCCATCACTGCCCCCCACTTTAATCTGTAGAATCCCCACCCTTTGTGAGACTCAAGATCAACTCCATTCCCCCAACAAACTTATACTTACAGTTGCCTTTGATGATAATGACACCTGTGCAATAAAGATGACCCACTAGATTGAGGAATTAAGTGCTGGATTACAGAAAATGTACTCTAATGGGAGTAATCCATAAAACCTTAACCCCAGTAAGTCAAACTGGACATTAACTTTCTGCTGCCTTCTCACAACAGCCCCTCTGGATTACAGAGGGCCTATATATTACATTTTAAAAGGACAGTTTTATTAGGAAAAGGAAAAGATGTTGCACAGATACAATCAGTCAGAAAAAGCTGTTGCTGCTGCTGCTTTACAAAGGGAAAAGGTTTGTGAAAACACCTGCATAGTCACAGGTGGGCAAGAGAGCTGCCCATGTGGTTCATTTTTCCTTATAATTTTTGAGTTCAATTCAGAGGACACTCAATACAGGATTGATGAATGAATAAATCACTGGCGTCCTCTTTTCTGCTCCAAAGTCCTGCTTCCCTCTACTCACCCTGGGGCCTTCTCCTCCAGGACTCTGCACTCCTGAGCCAGATTTCTAGTTATCATCTTCCTGACCTTTTGTGTCCATGTGGTCTCCTCCCTTAAGGTTGTGGTCATTATCCAAAAGCAAAATCAGATACAGGTGACATCTAGAACGAGAAGAAATTCCCAGGCCTCCTCCCCCACCTTACTGCTTAGAGGGATAGTGAGAGTTAACTAGTCATCGAGCCTGGCAGGATGAAGAAGAGGGCCTTGGCCTTGAGGGAGGTCACCAGCAACCCCTCTGAGTCAGTGGCAGCCTCTGACATCAGCAACAGTCATGTGCCTCAAGTCCTCTAGTCTCCCCATATCACCTCCTCCTCTCTCACAGCAGCCATAATTCTCCACAGGATGGCAACAGCAGGGCCTTGAACATTATCTGCATGATCTGCGTCATAATAACCTCCTCCCCCCACCACCACCTCTACTGAGGCACACGTGATTCAGGTGCACGTGTGGCCTGTAGGGAGGAGAGTCCTGGAGTAGCTAGCATCTAGTCTTCTCAGAATGCCCACCCTTGTGTACAAAAGGCAAAAGCCACAGGCTGGGGACGAACTATAGAGACCAACTCTCCCTCCAGAGCTGGCTTCCCTGGGACTCTGCAAGGATTGGAAACAGCCTACAGCAAGTCAGCCAAGTCAAAAAATGTCCCTGCACCCCCCCTAGCTGCTTCCCCATTGGTCACCCAATAGAGCAGGAGAGTAGCCTGCTCTGTGACCAGTCTGGAGCTGAGTGCTGGGGGCAGGGGAGAGGGGGTGAGAAGGGAAGTGGACATGGCACTTGCTCAGGGGAGAAATAGTCCCACAAAAAAGACCAGCAAACACACAGCTAAGAAATCAGCACCAGAGAGATGTGCCTCTATAGTGATGGTAAGGATCTGAGTCAGAGGGATAAGGCATTCCAGAACATCTGGATGGCCAAGGAAGACTTGACAGAGAAGGGGTCACGGTGGGGTCTGGGGAGTACTGTTGGGATGTTGGAGGAGACTCAGCTGTATCGAGTCCCTGGTTAAAAGCACAGAGCCCTGTTAATTCTGGAGTCTCTGAGGACACGGGCTAGAAATCTACCTTTTAGCAGAACCCTGGTGCCATTTGAGAAATACTGTGCTATGATGTAGGTTTTCTTCCTGCATCACAGCTGCTTCTCTTTCTCTCCCCTCCACCCACACGTCAGGCACCAACCTCCCTACTCCTTTCTACACATGCCTCACCATCTGCAACCCCGCTCCCCACAAATGGCCAACGCAGCTCTGAAGCAATCTCTCTATCCTTGACCCCTTCCTTTGCACGGTGAATGATGGCTTTTTTATCTCCCAGAGATGAAGCACAGCCTTCAGCTGGGGGCATTTAAGATACAGACCACATTAGGTCTCAGCCACAGCTGCAGGACCCAGAGGTAGATCTTGATAGCCCCAGGAAGGACAGAAGAAGCCACCACAAGAGCAGAGGCGGCAGCAGCACAGTTCCCATCTCTGTCCCACCGCTGCAATGCTCCTAGCAACATTTAAGCTGTGTGCCGGAAGCTCCTACAGACATGTGAGCAACATGAAGGGTGAGTTCCCCCGAGGAGGTCTTTAGGGGGAATAGGCACTCTCAGGCCCGGTGCTTTAGTGCAGAAGGGCTGGAATGGGGGTCAGGCCACTCAGTTCTGACCCCAGTGATACCTCTGTGCTGGTAAGCCTGTCCAAGTAGCTTCCATTCGGGGCCCCCATTTTCCTACCTGAAGACAGGCTGGATACTAAAATGCCCACATCCCTCCCAGATTCTGTACTCTCTGGTGGCCCTCCAGGTGCCAACCTTCCTGGCTTTGCCTTCCTCTAGGAGGGGTATCAAGGGTACCAGGAAAGTCTCAGACAGAGTAGTAGATATAAGCCTTGACTTCAACAGTGCTCAAAAGCCTGAGGTGAGCTGGGAGGAGAGAGGAAGAAAAAGGAAGGTGAGTAAAACAGCAAGAGCAAGGCAGAGAGAAAGTGGGTGGGGGAGGGCCGTCTTGTTATTACCACATAAGCAATAGCAGGCAGAAAACTGTTACTAAAGGCCACTAAAGCCAGAACCTAAGGTCATGAGTGACCCCCCTGCTGCTGCTGCAGGGCACATAATGAAACCTAAACAAACCCTTTCCAATTACACTGGGTTAAAATAGCTTCTACCTTAAATTGAAGCCAGGCTTGGAAGACCGGCACCCAGCAGTGAGGTTGTTCTCACTCCATCAACAAGACTTACCTGGGTCAGATTCTAGCAGCACACAGACCTCAGGGGGTGGGTGTCTTTATTCTCCTTCTGAAGTAGCATGTTCCTGGTTGTTTGACCAAAGCTCCTTGCATGAAGGCAACTTCAGCAGGCTCTTGTGCAGCCCCACCCTCAGTAGGGCCAGGCCTGGCCAATCAAGATGGAAGGCAGTAGACTTACTTCTGGGCCTTGGCGGTTGCCTTGTATACTATAAGGAGCACTGAACCGGGAGTTGAGGACCTGGCTCTAGTTCAGGTCCATGTTAGAAATCTGTTCAGAGTCCTCTCCAAGTCCGTTTTCTCATCTGTGGCAAGATGGGGTGGAAAGGTCCATCTCTGAGGGGTTCTCTGGCTCCTGAGCAAGTTTCCTTCCCTCCCTGCAGGGCTGAGGCACCAAGCTGTGCTAGCCATTGGCCAGGAGCTGAACAGAAGGGCACTGGGGGGTCCAACGCCCAGTGCATGGATTAACCAGGTTAGACGTCGGAGCTCTCTGCTTGGTAAGTGCTGAGGTTTCTGAGCTTCTGCCAGTGGTAGGAGGCTCCCGGGGTGCAAACACTGCAGACGGTCCTGTGTCCTCTCCCCACCCCATTCCCCACCTCATTCATTTTGAAATAATGTTTCTCAATACCAGATCCCCTCTCTGTCACTTGTAGCTGCTGTGTCTAACTTGACCTGCAGGCTGGACCCTGTGACTTTAGTCTTGGCTCTTCAGAGAAAAGAGAGGTCGAGAGATCAAAGGGACGCAAGCTGGTGGGAGGCCAGGGGACCGGAAGGAAGCTTGGTTGACCCTCAGCTCTATGTCCAGGGTCTCGGCTGGAAGAGACTCTCTACAGCGACCAAGAGCTAGCCTATATCCAGCAGGGAGAGGAGGCCATGAAGAAGGCCCTGGGCATCCTCAGCAACCAGGACGGCTGGAAGAATGAGAACCAGCAGGTAAGGGTGGTCCTGGGGGAATCCCTAGTTCCTCGCTATTCCATTGCCATCTTCAAGGGTCACTGCTCTTCTCATACTCCTGTCACATGCAGTAGTCACTGGGTAGCAAGAAGTTTTAACTTGAACTCTCCTTTCCCAAGAATATATCCTCAGATATCCCCTTCCCCCATCAGACATTCTGGAGACGAGAGTTTAAGAAACAGTTTCCTTATCTTTAGCCACCTCCAAATACACTGTGTACCCATTTAACAGACTATGCAATGGGGAGTCATGTGCTTTAGAGACCTTTTCACTCTGGGTCACAAGTTCCAGCGCAACATGCTGAGTCTGAGTCTGTGCTGCTCACCTTGACTGGGTGACCCAAGCTCACTTGCAGCAGGACTGAACTGGAACACAGGTGGCCCAAGGCTTCTTGGGTTCTCTGCTCCTGAGTAAGGCAACTTCACTGGGGGCCAGCACCAAGATACATGTTTTAAAGTTAGTGGTTCTATTGACACTTTGCTGGCTGTATCTTCACTAAAAATTTATGTGCTGCCCATTGCCCAAAGTTCAGGAAAAACCTCTCCTCAGGCCTCCCCGGTGGTACAGTGGTTGAGTGCTGGGTTGCGAAGCTGCCTGCAGCCTCTGCAGCACCAGTTCAATCCCCAGCTGCCAGGTGAGGGTCCACATGGCGCGCAGACCTCTCCTGCCACCCGCTGCTCCCCTCAGCAGTATACTTCATCTGTCTGCCTGTTCTGCTCCCCACTCTGGCTCTGGTGATCTCTCACCCTCCCACACTTCTGACTGTACCCAGTGCTTGTATAAATAAATAATCTTCAAAAAAAAAAAAAAGAAAAGAAAAACTTCTCCAAGTTCTCAGAGTTAAGACACTAATTTGGGAGTCAAGGAGTATGGGATCTAGCCCCAGCACTGCTCTTAGCCAAGGGTCCCCAGGCAACTCACTGACTTTCTCTAGTCCAATATTTCTCTGTATAAAATGAGGTATTGGACTAAAATAATCTTCAGGATCCTGTCCAACATTCTATCTATGTCATAGCTGGTTTAGACCAGACTTTTTCCATTCTCAGCTTTGTATCTTTCAGGATGCTTGTGCTTCTGAAGGGCCTTTTCAGTTGGACTTACCTACACTAACAACATTTGTCACCAAGAAAATATCCAGGAAGTAGTTCACTTGCCAGGTCTTTAGCAGATTATGAGGCTGTGGCAAGAAAGATTACCTAGACTGACTTAATCAGAAGTAGTTCCAGACTACCTCATGCTTGAAAGTTCTCTTTGTTCTTCCCCTTCCTACCTTGCCTGGCATGGTCATTGTGCCCTTGGCTAGAAATAGTTTTTTTCTAACCTTTATCCTGGGCTTTCTTTCCATCATGACAGATGAATGGGGACAGAGTGCTGAGTAAAGTGGTCCCAGATGTGGGCAAGGTATTCCGGTTGGAGGTGGTGGTGGACCAGCCCATGGAAAGGCTCTATGAAGAACTTGTGGAACGCATGGAAGCCATGGGCGAGTGGAACCCAAATGTCAAGGAGATCAAGGTGAGGAGAGTCCAGGTGTGGGTGAGAAGGACCCATGAGAGCCTGATCTGAAGGTGGAAAAAAGAAGGAAAGGGCTGCAGCTGTGGGTGGTACCTTAGCCCATGTACGGCTGAATGCTGATTCTGGTTCCCTGTGGCTTGGTAGGTCCTGCAGAAGATTGGAAAAGATACAGTCATCACCCATGAGTTGGCTGCAGAATCAGCAGGAAACCTCGTGGGGCCCCGTGACTTTGTGAGTGTGCGCTGTGCCAAGCGCCGAGGCTCCACCTGTGTGTTGGCTGGCATGGCCACACACTTCGGGGAGATGCCTGAGCAGAAAGGTGTCATCAGGTAATACTGGCAGCGGGCTCAAAAGTTCCCTTTTTCCTAACACAGGCCTGGGTATGCACCCACCTAGTGTGATGAACCCTGGCTCCAAGAAACTGGTCCTTGATCCCAACCCACAGTTGCCTTTTCCAAGGGAAGATTCTCATTTTCCCTAGCAGGGAAGGAAGATAAGATTGATCCTTACTTCTATAGCAGTATATCCTGACCCTCCCAGAAAGTTTACAACAATAATTTTCTAAAGCAAGAGTGATGGATAAGGTTTAGCTGGTATGGTGGGGTACAACTGTACTGGTGATTAAAATATACCCCATAGCACTTAGAACACTGTTACCTAAGTTTCCTAGAGCCCCAGTTACCACCATAGACCCCATCCCTGACCTCCCTCTGACCCAGAACTAAAAAGGCACCATAGGAAGCCTTCCAATTCTGCTCCAGCTACAAACATTCGTTCCAATGAGCTGGTAAATTTGACAACATTAACTTATCACCCTTGGCAAACAGTACTTTTCTGATGTGATCTGGAAAAGGTACCTTAAGAAATGTAGCAAATGTTACTGGCCAGCATAAGAGAGAACTCTGAATAGTCCTCCTGAATCAACTTCGCTTCATTTGCAGAGCTGAGCATGGTCCCACTTGCATGGTGCTCCATCCCCTGCCTGGAAGTCCCTCAAAGACCAAGCTTACTTGGCTGCTCAGCATTGACCTCAAGGTGAGGGGCATGGGAGGTGGCTCAGTGGATGGTAGTGTCAAGAAAACATGTTCTTCCCTCTCCCAAACTATCCCATATGAAACATTAAGGTACCTCTTTCATTTTGAGAGAATCAAATTATTGTAGTGGGAAGAGACTTGAATAATGCTATTAAACTATTTTAAAAGTCTGTAAGTTGCCCCTTCTTTTATCATATTTCAACTCTGTAGTTAGCATTTTATAAAGGAAACTTAGGCCCAGAAGAGCATGGTAACTTCCTCAGAGTCTCACAGCTAGAAAACAGGGCTGAAATTTGTCTTGATAAAATTGTGCTTCTGACTGTCAGCGATAGCAAGGGCACCAATATAGTCTTCTAGCCTTTGACCCTGGCCAACTGCACAGTTTATAAACAGAGCTGGAACACAAAGCCCCAGACAACCCACAATGTTTGTGAAGGGGAGCAGAGGTGTCTAGAATGAACAACACCCACAGCGTGACCAAATTCTATCTTCCACTCTAGGGATGGCTGCCAAAGACTATCATCAACCAGGTTCTCTCACAGACCCAGGTGGATTTTGCCAACCACCTGCGAAAGCGCCTAGAGTCCAGCCCTGTTGCTGAAGCCAGATGTTAAAGACCAGACTGCTTCTCCCAAGTGTTCTAGCTACATGGGCCTACATACGCGTGAGGAAAATCGCTGCTAGACGCCTGCAAGTCTGCTTGAGAATTTCATCTGGGGATGAAATCTGGGGGGGTAGGGGGGGTAGCAGTATATTTAGAGTATGACATGAGGACTCAGACTGGTAAAGTGTTAGTACTAAGAAAACAGGAATGAGGCTCTTAAAGAGGAAGAGCCTTCCATTTCACTAACTGTGAAATATAGGTTAAGGATCCCAAAATATTTTTAAAACTTTTTTTCTGGGCCCTTGACACCCAAAAATATCTTTAAAATGTTACTAGGTGTCTTCTAAAAATCTTGCCCAACTTTTCTTGATGAAAAAATACAAAACTAATTATTAAACTGCACCTCCCACTTCTTCCTTGAGCAATCAGAATAAAGAATCTGACACAAAAACTTCTGTCTGTACCTGTTTTAAAATTCTACTAAAATTTTTTCTTCTTGTAAATTACACCTTCACATTAAACTAGTTTTGGGTAGATTTTGACTAGTTAGACTAACTCCTCTAGCTTATTAAAAGGAAACACTACTGGAGACCATGTCATTCAATTATTTAGAATGTCACCTAGAATCATAAAAATGTAATTCTGTGATATGCACAAGCTGAAAGTTCTTAAAAAAATTCTGTAACTGGCAGCTGACTAATGAGTACTGTAAGATGATTGTAACTGAGGATTTTTTATTTTAACCTAATAAAAAGGGAGGATAAGCACCATGTATGAGAACAGCATTACTAAGATAAACAAAAGTAAATTATATTCTCCCATAATCGACTATTTAGACCTAAAATGGGAACTGAATCTTTAGTTCAGAGTATATCAGCTCTCAGCATGGCTTAAACTGTCAATTCTCTGCCTTAATGAGTCAATGTTTTACTATTTTGAGAGGTGGCGGCTAAAAGGACTATTCTGGTGATAGCAAATTCTCTTTCCAAGATTCAGAAAACTTATACTTTTTTTTTTTTATTTTTATTTTTTTTATTTTTTTATTAGATAATAAATTTTATTGTTATATTCCCCATACAATTGCAGCGCCCCCATTCTGACCCCAATCCCTCCCCTCCCGCCCCTGCCCCCCTAAAAGTGTCTCTGGTTCATAGTTTTTTGTTGATTTTGATTTTCACTTTCTTATACAGAAAACTTATACTTTAAAAATAAAATTAGGAGGGGTTTATTTTGCTAAAATGTGTCAGAAGGATGAAAAGCCAACAATGGCCACTTGAACCTTTTCCCTTCTAATCCTAATAGCAATGATGATTTATTAACATGATTTGAAGAGCGCTCTAGTGTTTTAATTAAACCAATGAGCATTAGTGGGAATGCTGATTATTTATTGAAGTATTGACGTTTTATTGATAGAGGTATTTATTATTATTTATTCTGATTGCTTTAGTTTATTTTTGGCATAGATGAAATTATTATTTATCCATCCAGGAGTTTCAAAAGTCAGAGGGATAGTTGAAGTAATCATAGTACAAAATTATCATCCACTCCCACTTAAGAGAAGGTGGCTATATGTTTAAAGATATGTAAAGTGATATATATTCTTGTTTCAAGAGACAGACTGATTAGAAATGGGCTCACAACAAATGCCAAAAAATTATAATTTACTGAATTTAGCTGAATTATAATTTACTGTCTTAAAACTATGCAACTGTATCTTTGAGATGACTGGGGAGTTATTTTATCAATTGTTTAATTTTGCACTGAAATAAAGTAAGTTGTTGGTGATGATCTGTGTACAGAAACCATTTCATATAGGACTATATGAAGACTGAGTATACATTGAGCCCTTCATATGAACCTTATGGAAATTCACATACACTTTTTAATATTAACAGGCAAAGTCATTACTTCTGTAACTTCTGATTTATGAAAGTCAAATACACAAAAATCTAATTTTATAATTTAGCTAGAGAGCAACGGTACAACATATATATGACAATTATGTTACAAAAATTATACCTCCAAACTCCTCTAAGTAACACCACCCTCACTTTATTAAAGACCTACGAACTCTGATGATCCAGAAGTTTTATAATCAAGTTTGTCTTTCAAGACCAGCCATGAATGAATAGTTGGCAAGGGGAATAGGCTGAGACTCCAGCTTACTATCACATTGATTTGTTGTTAGCTTTTCTGTTAAGGGGAATGGAATACCAAAACAAAGAGCCTGTGTCATTTGTCAGGAGACAGATATATCTTCAAAGCCACTGTGTTAAGGGCCCTTCCTGGTGGCACAGGGATTAAGTATCAGCACTATCAAGCTATCACCAGCCACTGAAACGTGAGTTCGATCCCTGGCCAAAGAGCTAACCAACATGGCACAGCAGACCCCTCTTGTCTCACCTGCTGCTCCCCTCAGCAATGTATTCCAGTCAATCCACCTGTTCTGCTCCCCACTCTGTCTCTGGTGAATCCTTTCACTCACCCCACCCCACACCTTTGGACTACATCCCGTTCTTGTATACATGAATAAATAAATCTTTAAAAAAAAAAAGCCAATGTGTTAAGACACCAATAGTCACTTTAAACTTATACAACTTCTTCAGCAGGCATAACATATGGTGATTCTTGGTAACATATCTACCTACCTTATGGTGAACCACTCTACCTTTAATCTAGGTAGAAAGTTACATGCTATAGTCTTTGGGCAATCCTGAGGAGCCTGCATTGCTACAGATATATTATTAAAGGAAGCTAAGGAAGCCATAAGAGGATCCCAAAGAAAGGCTCATTCTTATATTCCAAGTTTTAGTATTCTGAGAACTACCCTTAATCCAACTACTACAAAGGAAGATAAGCAAGACAGGAAAACAACCTGCATATATCAGCACACATTTTCAAAGTGAAGAGCTAAAGGGAAGATATTAGTCCTTTTAAACTCTAGCCCATTTCCTTGAGACTGATTTTCATAGGAAAAAGGGGGTGATGAGTTGGATAGTAAGAATATGTAACGGGAGTAGGTAGATATACAAGCCAGAAACTCTCTCCTCCTCCAATGTTGGCTCCCCTTCCTCAGAATGCCCATGCTTTTGACAATGTCACAGAGAAACCCAACCTGAAAGGGAAGAAAAGTGCCACACAAACTTGAAGACAAGTTTTATTTGGGAAGTTTCCAATTGTTAAATTGCAAGCAAATTCCTTTTCACAATTACAGTTCTAGAGTCCTAAGCATTTCAGAGATCCCAGTGTTGAAAGTAGATTTCAAAATTAATGACAAAAACAAGCCCACATCAAAAGGAAAGAGCTTTTGGACTGGTTTTTAATGTACGGCTATTGATTTCAGCTGCTCTCACAAACAGACCCACCACTTCCTTGGAAATCAGGTGGGATGGAGTCAATGCCCACAGAAGGGAATGTCTTTAAATAAGTTACTTGGACAAGATTATTCACTCCTTAGAAAATACAGTAAGATAGTAAGTCCCAGTTGGTGGGGTTTGTGGCACAGCACCAGTTTCACAGGGAGCTCATGGGATTCTAGGGTCAGCAGTTATTAGCATATGGCACACAAAATTAGAGCCGTCACCAGAAGAGGGGAGAGTATTAAAGGGCAGGCCTTTTCCCAGCCCCACCCAGCCTTTAACTGACTAAAAGCAGAGGCTGTGTTTTACAGCATCTTCTGGAGAATATTTACAACAGTTAAACAGAACCCTGCCTCCCCCAGTATCATTCCCCAGAAAGTCCGTATCTACAAGAGGGGCCTGGTCAGGGTTCCCATGGGGGACTCCGCCTCCCATCCACTTCTGTTTCCACATGATACAAGACATCAGCCAGAGTGTGTTCTACCACAGCGCCCCAGCCCATGTCACTCATCTGGGGGAGGAATAAGAAACAGCAAATGAAGTGATTAGAATAACTATAGCAAGAAATAACAAAGATACAAAAAATGCATATTTTTTTAATGTTACTCACAGGGCGGTAAGTGAGATCCTTTGGAGGATACTTGAAGCATGGTCCAAAGTTAATGGAAACCTGGGATAAATTCAATTCAAACAGAAGTGAAAGGTTAATTTGACATGGCAAATTTTAAATATAGCCATGCCATTCAGGATATAACAGGAATGGATATTAATATTGCTAAAAGTAGCTCAACGTCCTAATGTCCATTCATCAAGAATTAATAAAATAGACTTGTGTGCATTTTTTGTTTATAACCTAAAGATTTTCTTATTTTCAATGATGGCTATACTAGTGATAGAAACATATGGAAACATCTAGGCATTAACTATTTTTTTTAGTTTTATTATTACTTCTATAGTTCGTTTTTGTTATTTTTGTTGCTTTAGCATTAACTTTTCAAATCACTTTTTCAAAAAGACTAATGGTAGTCCCCTTCATGCTGGGTCATATTAAAAAATATATATTTTTTTTTAGAAAAAAAATATATTAAAGCAACAACTACTAACTGGTTATGGTAGGTCATTATGACCTACAATACCACACTGATTTATGCATGCACATATATATATATCCTTTACAATGAACAATAACATTTATCACACAGTACATTCAAAAGAAATGTACGGGACACACTAAATGCATGATTTTTATCTATCTAAACAAATACTGAAATGCTCAACTGTTTTTGGAACAAACAGTAACATTCCCACCTCACTCCTAGGTTATTCAGATTTCTTTCTAGAACACAATCAATGATTCTTTTATCATAACCATTCATCTATTCCCTCAAATTCTGTTCACAGGTCAAATAGATATGATATTTACCGTGCAGCTCTTGTACAAGGAGATGGCTGGAAAGTAAACTCCTTCAAAAATATCTTTGTAAGCCACACCTTGATTGACCCCATTTTTATAAAATATTATCTAAAATTGAAAAAAAACAAACATGGTTTTACTTCAGAATTTAAAAACAGAACAAACTTATTAGAAAAGCTCACTTGGAGAACCCTATCGAGGTACTACCACCATATTGGTAATAACATATAGCTTGTGTATTAACAATAATCTTAAATTTATATAATACTTTTAAAATTTTCAGAGAATTTTTACATGCACTATTCTAATTAGTCTTCAGGTTTGCTATCTGAATTCCAAGCTACTTATACCACACACAATTCTTTTTTCTATGTATTTATTAGAGTAATTTGGTCTTCTACTGATTTCTTGGAACACTACCTGTTTATATACTTTTCCTCTTCCTTTGCATCAGGTTCTCACTTCTGCAATTCCACTTTGAAAATCTCTTGATCTTCTGAATCAAAAAGTTTCTGAATCCTCATTTTCTTTACTCTCTCTCAATGATCCTGAGTATTCTCTCTTAACCACTATATACAGACTTCAAAAAACATTTCTTTTTCTGGAGTAACTTTCTCTGACTCTTCTTATCGTTATCTTTTCCTTGGCTATATTTCCTCGGTGCATGCCCCTCAGAACTATTAACTGTTTCCTTTTCCTATTTTTTTCCTAAAAACAACTGGAATCCAAGTTTAGTTCTCCTACACCTGCTTCTATATTCCTGTCCCAGTGGCATCACTGCATTTTTATAGAAAAATGTTTCCAACTTGGAAGGAACTTCCTCCCTCCTTTATGGCTGATCCAGATGTCCCAAGTCCTTTTTTGACTGTACTAAGACCTTGGGCACATTCCCAAGAACACTGGGAACAGGTCAGGGAAGTTGTAAAGAACACTGAATGGACCACTTATATCTGCTGCCCCTGAGACGCACAGCAAGCTCCTCTGTTCTCATCTCCCAGTGTTCTTCCCCCTTTGTACTTGATATCTGCTCTGATAAAGGTATTGCTCACTTGCTTCCTCAATCACCTGTAGACTTTCTAATTAGGCCACTGATTTTAACCATTTTTCCTAGTGTTCCTGAAAAAAACTAGTCATTCCTCAATGGCAGCACCATTCTGCCAAAGAAAAAGTACAAACAGGGCCTCCCTGGTGGTGCAGGGGGTTAAGGCGCAGCACTGTGAAGCTATCCGCAGCCACTGCAGCAGGAGTCCAATCCCCACCAGCCAGGGAGCTAGCCACATGGTGAAGCAGACCTCTCCTGACTCGCCCGCTGCTCCCCTCAGCAGTGTATTTCAGTTGATCCGCCTGTTCTGTTCCCCACTCTGTTTCTGGTGAATCCTCTCATCCCCCACATCTCTGGCCTGTACCCCCACTTTTATATGCATAAATAAATCTTAAAAAAAAAAAAGAAAGAGTACAAACATAGGAGGCAGAGAGTGAGCTTGCTCTACTACGAATAGCTGTGTTAGGCCTATTTCCCTCATTTTTATAATTGAGAGATTGGTCTGGATCTTCAAAGTCTTCTAATTCTGATGTTTTTATGATCATGACTCACCTCACTATGGGGAGTCGGCTTTAGGCTCTTCTCTGCTTTATCCACAAAGTCCTTTTCCTCAAAATACAAATAACTCTTGAACTTTATCAAAGCCTTGAAAAAAAGAGAGAAAGGGGAAGAGTAAGAATATTAAAGCATCAGTTACATTATCATGACATAGTAAAAAAGCAGTGAGTTGTTGTGTTCTGAATCAGACAGGAAAAATCTTTGCAGATTAGTGATCCTAGATTTTGAGCAACAATGTGCTTAAAAAAAAAAAAAAGATAAGTTTGCTGAACATTTAAAAAAAAAAAGACTTGATTTATGCAGAAACACATACATATAAACATATAGTCTTACAACGCCCATAAAAATGGCTACAATTCATAAATTTCGTCCCTTAATAAACTCTGAGAAAAATGACAAGCTAACTGAGTTTACTGAGTTTAAACTGAGCTTACCTAAAATCTAGTACTCAAAATATTTTGAGTTCCATTCCTTTTTAGTTCCCTGCCTGTTTCTCCTATGATCTCTGGGTCACCTCTTTCTTGTTGGTTCTGAAGAATCTCTTTAACTACTCACTCCCAGATAAGAATATGACATTACATTTTCTGAATCTCAATTTCTAAGCACATCCATTATCTATTTATCTATCTTAACCATGGTTAAAACAAAAAACCTGATGGTGCAGGGGTTAAAGTCTCAGGGCTATTAAACTATCACCAGTCATTATGGCATGAGTTTGATCCCAGGCCAGAGAGCTGACCCGCGTGATACAGCAGACTTCACCTATCTGATCCTCTGCTCCCCTTAGCAGGGTATTTCAGTAGAATGCCTGTCATCCCTACTCTGTCTCCAGTGAACCCTCTTACCCCCTGTACCTCTGGCCTACATCCCAGTTCTTGAATGCATAAATAAAAGAAATCTTAAAAAAAGACCCAGGGCCTCCCCTGGTGGCGCAGCGGTTGAGCGCTGGGCTGCGAGGCAACCTGCAGCCTCTGCAGCACCGGTTCGTTCCCTGGCCTCAGGCGAGGGTCCCACCAAAAAAAAAAAACCCAAAACTTTCCCAAGATACAAAAGACCATAAAATGACTACTATAATTCCCTCACACCATGTCCCTCAATTCTCAATTTCCCTTTGCTAAAAACAATCACTGTTCCAGTATCCTCTGTCCTTAAAAAAGCCCAGGTATATATTAATAGCTTGAAATTAAAGAGTACACACATAGACACAAGCCCATGCCACAAAAATGAGAAACAAACAAAAAAGGGCATACAAATGGTAGTGTACTATACAATTCTGTGTTGTATCTTAAGTTTTTCACTCAATGTATACTGGAGATCCTTCTATATCAGACCATGGTGCTTCTGAGCACATTCATAATATTCTACTGTATGGACATATTCTTAACAAATTATCTAAATTAAAAGCAAAATTTTATAATATAAATAAGTAAATAATTTTTAAAATTTCCCTAATATCCTGAGGTAACTGTAGACCTATGTACACCCAAAACTAGGCATTAATGGAGTTTTCATTTAAGGGTTCTAGATGGCAGGCAGCACAGTGTGATGTAATCAATAAAATGGGTGCTTAGATTGCTTGTTAGGAGAACAAACTTGGAGGATCTCTATGACCCAATTTCAATCAAGACAGTGTGGTCCTGGGCCTCCCTGGTGGCACAGCGGCTGGGCACTGGGTTGCAAGGCTGCCCGCAGCCTCCACAGTGCCAGTTCGATCCCCAGCCGCCAGGTAAGGGTCCCACATGGCGTGCAGCCCTCTCCTTCCGCCCGCTGCTCCCCTCAACAGTGTGCTTCATCAGTCTGCCTGCTCTGCTCTCCGTTCTGACTCTGGTAAATTCTCTCACCCTCCCGTGCTTCTGACGGTGCCCACTGCTTGTATGTATGTATGCATGTATGTATGTATGTATGTATAAATAAATAAATAAATCTTTAAAAAAAAAAAAAAAAAGACAGTGTGGTCCTGGCATAAGGATCAACAAAGAGTTTTCAAAAACAGTGCTAGAATAACAGAATGTCCATGCGGAAAAAAAATTTAACATTGATTCCTATACATCACTCCCTACACCAGAATTGAGAATTAATTAAAAGTGGAGCAGAGACCTAAATATAAATGCAAACCTTAATCTTTTTAAAGGGAAAATAGAATATCTTCATGACTTGGGGTAGGCAAAGATTTTTTAACTCACAGAAAGCAATATAATAATAGTGAGAAAAATTTTGATAAATTCCATAAAAATTTAAAACTAGTTCATTATATCATTAATGAATAGGTAAGTCATAAAGTCAGAGGAAAAAAAATATTTTAAAGCCATTTCTAATAAAGAACTGTAATCCAGTATATACAAAGAATTCCTACAATCAATACAAAAAAGATTAAACTATCCAGTTTTTTTAAAGGTAAAATATTTGAACAGAAACTTCACAAAAATAGATGGCCAATAAGCATATGAAAACCTGTTCCACAACAGTGGTTATAGAAGTGCTAATTTAAACCACAATGATATACCACAACACATCCACCCAAGTGGCCAAAACTGACAGACAAGGAATGCTGGTAAGGATGCAGAACAACTAAATTTCACATACATTATTGGTGGGTAGGTAAAGAGTCAGCTAATTTCTTTTTTTTTTCCCAAAGATTTATTTATTTATGCATACAAGAGCTGGGGGGGGGCGGGTATAGGCCATAGATGTTGGGGGTGAGAGGATTCACCAGAGACAGATCAGGGAACAGAACAGGCAGATTGACCGAAGTACACTGCTGAGGGGAGCAGCAGGCGAATCAGGAGAGGTCTGCTTTCCCATGTGGGTTGCTCCCTGGCCGGCCGGGGATCGAACTTGTGCTGCAGAGGTTGCGGATTGCTTCATAGTGCGGTGCTTAATCCCTTACGCCACCAGGGAGGCCCAAGAGTCAGTTAATTTCTGACAAAACGAAATATGTAACACCCTGTGACCCAGTAATTTCATTTCTAGGTCCTGAACTCCCAAAAGAAAACATATTCACGAAAAGATTTGAACAAAAAATGTTTGCTGCCCCAAACTTTTAACAGTCAAGTGTCTATCAAAAGGAAAATAATAGCTACATGTCAATTATACCTCAATAAAGCTAGAGAAAAAAAAAAGAAAATGGATACACTGTGGTATTATTTATACAATGTGACACTAGTCTGCAGTAGAAAGAAAAACTATAAGTACACAAAACAGCATGAGTTAATCTCAACAATATTAAACCAAATGATAGAAGCCAGATAACAAGGACTACATATTGCATGGCTCCTTAAGTAAATCAAGACCAAGCTAAGCCAATGGAGCAGATGGAATAGAAAGAGAATCAAGAAGAGTGCATACTGATTCCATCAGCTTAAGCTGCAGATGCTGACTCGGTCAATCAGTCACATTTTCTGCATAAGCAACATACAAATGAAACCAGAAAACAATATGCCACCACCATATGGTGGTCTATGAAAAAGTGCAGTAAATATAAAGTGCAGTAAATATATTAGGGAAAAAGTGAGAGGAAAAGAAAAAAAACCGACTAACAGAATAGAATTAGATGGAAAAAACAGGTGGAATACAGTGGTTGCCTCTATAGGGTAGCACTGTGGCTTGACAAGAAAGAGCATGAGGGAACTTCCTGGGGTGGGTAAGATTCTATGTCTTGGCAGGGGTTTGGGTAAATGCAAAACTCAGTGAATATACACTTAAATTTATACCTTTATAAAAATTTTATACCAAATAAAACCTAAACAAATATTGAACAAACCATAGCTAAAGACAAGCATCCTGAAGTATTTAAGAGGACAGTGTGATGTCTGCAATATTCTTTGGAGTGCATTAAGGAAAGATGGCTCAATGGATGGAGGCACAGGTGGAAGAATGAATGGATTACATGTCAATGGTAAAATCTAGGTGATGGGTATTTGGACAGACTTAAATTCTTTCAACTCTGTTATGTATGAAAATTTTCATAAGGAAATGTTGGAAAAAACATGACTGGTGGGTCAGCAGGTCACATGGTCTCCGTGGTGGCACAATGGGTTACTAAGTCTCAGCACTATGAAGCCACAGGTAGCCACTGCAGCATGAGTTCAATTCCCATCCAGGGAGCTGACCCACATGGCGCAGACCTTTCCTGTCTTGCCTGCTGCTCCCCTCAGCAGAATATTTCAGTCAGTCTGCCTGTTCTGTTCCCCACTCTGTCTCCGGTGAATCCTCTCACCCCCCACACCTCTGGCCTGTACCCCAATTCTTCTACATAAAAATAAAAATAAAAATAAAATCTGTGGGGGCCTCCCTGGTGGCGCAAGGGGTTAAGCAACACACTATGAGGCAATCCACAGCCTCTGCAGCATGAGTTCAATCCCCGGCCAGCTGGGGAGCTGCCCACATGGCGCATCAGACCTCTCCTGACTCTCCCGCTGCTCCCCTCAGCAGTGTACTTCGGTCAATCTGCCTGCTCTGTTCCCCACTCTGTCTCTGGTGAATCCTCTCACCCCACACCCCACGCCTCTGGCCTGTATCCCAGCTCTTGTATGCATATATAAAAATGAATCTCTTAAAAACAAATAAATAAATAAATAAATAAATAAATAAAATCTTAAAAAAAACAAAATATGAATACATAGGTCACAGTTGCTGGCAATGGCTGCCATAGGCCTTCAAACCCAGGAATCTCTCAAAAGAGCACACTCACCTTATCTTTATAAGTATCAGGCAGTGACTTGGCCGTCTCTGTGTCTTCAGGAAGATTGATATAAAATCCCAGGACATCTCCTTGTCCATAGCCAGAAGAGTAGTGTTTGCCAATAGACTGGTGGAATTTAGTTCCCTTTTTGCTCCGCCAAGAATAGCTAAATTTATCATAACCTAAGGGAGCCTGAAGGTTACCTGTCCAAATGAAAAAGATATAGAGGCAATCATAGGACTGCTAAGAAAGAGTCTATTCCTTTTATTTTCTCATCAATTTTGTAAAACTACTAACTTGAGGCCTCTCTGGTGGCTTAGAGGTTAAGTCTCAGTCCTATCAGTGCTATCACCATGATGGCCTGAGAATGGCCTGAGTTTGACCCCCAGCCAGGAAGGTGACCCACATATGGTGCAGCAGACCTGTCTTGCCCCTTCCTCCCCTTAGCAGTGTATTTCAGTAAATCTGCCCGTTCTGCTCCCCAACTCTGTCTCTGATGAATCCTCTCACCCTCCCTCCCACCAACCTCTGGCCTGCACCACAGTTCTTCTATACGAAAATAACTAAATAAAATCTTTAAAAAACAAAAACTGCTAACTCACAAGCAATTATAGAAATATTACTACAAGTTACAAACCAACTAAATCTTCAGGAACCGAATTTTAAGTTCATAGTCCAATAAGCCCCAAAGTCCTGAAGTTTAGCTAGATGGTCTCTCCTTCTCTCCCTGCTGCGACATCCACAGTCCAGCGCCAACTTACCTAATGGCTGGGACCAACCCAATCTGGCAGCAGTGTCTGGTGGCATCTCATCCACAGTGATTTCAAAATACCAGGCACCTTTCCGTACCCCATGAGAAGCCCGAACCATCGAGTAGCCCTTCTCTCCAACCACAGTGAGCCGGTCATCAGAGATCTTCAACTGAGGAGCTTCAGGGATGGAGATGAAAATGAAGACATAAAGGTCACTGGAGATACCTAGAGGAAGCTGCCACAAAAACATGAGTTCCCTGCACCCCTATGTTTATAGCAGCACTATTTTACAATAGCTAAGCTTTGGAAACAACCCAAATGCCCAAAAATAGATGACTGGATCTAGAAGATGTGGTACATATATACCATGGAATATTACTCAGCATTCAAAAAAGATAAACACATGCAATTTGCAGCAACATGGATGGAGCTGGAAGGGATCATGCTCAGCGAAATAAGCCAGAAAGAAAAAGAAAAATACCAGATGGTCTCACTCATAGCAGGAATCTAGAAAACTTAAATAAGGAACAAAGGAAAAAGAATAACTATAAGAAAGAAAATATCAAAATCAACAAACAACTATGAACGAGAGACACTCTATGGGGGGTGGGGGCGGGGAAAGGAGGGATTGGGGTCAAAATAAGGGGGCTGTAATTGTATGGGGAATATAAAAATAAAATTTAAATATTTATTAAACAAAAAAAAAAAAAAACCACAAAACATGAGTCCCTTATACTCCAGGAAAACAAAATATAAATCAGAAATATCAGGGCAGGAATATGAAATATTAATTCAGAAGTCTAAAAATCTCAACATGAGAAACAAAGAAAAGAGGAAGAAAAGCAAGAAAGGTTCGAGGTAATCTAGTTTTTACTAAATATTCACGATGACACATTAAAATTATACTATCTATCCTCTAAAATAAAACAAATCAATTGTAATCTGTTTGGATCCTGATTTTTAAAAAATCATCCTCTAAGTATTTAACTTCTATTTTGAAACAATTTCAGATTTTCAAAAATAGTGCAAAATTTCATATGCTCTTCACTCAGCTTTATTACATGTTAACACTATCCATAATAATTTAAACCAGAAAATGACCAATGATATAATACTATGAACTATTCTGTAGATAACCTTCAAGATAAGTGAATTATCCAAATAAATTCCTTGTCTGCACCAGGATCTATTCCAATATCCCACATTTCACTTACTTATGACGTCTCCTCAGTATCTTCTAACTTGGGAAAGTTCCACTGTCTTTCATGACCTTGACATTTTGAAAAGCACTGGCCACTTTAATTTTGTAGAATATCCCTCAGGCCACTTTAGTTTATAGACTATCCCTTAATTAGGTTTTCTGATGTTTCCTCCTGTTTAAGTACAGGTTATACTTTTTTGTCAGGATACCACTGAAGTAATGCTATGTCTCAATGCAGCATCGCAGGAAGCACATTCAAAATGATGATATTAAACAGATTTATTTATTTATGCATACAAGAACTGGAGTATAGGCCAGAGGTATGGGGGTGATAGGATTCATCAGAGACAGAGTGGGGAGCAGAACAGGCAGACTGACTGAAATACACTGCTGAGGGGAGCAGTAGGGGAAACAGGAAAGGTCTGCAGCACCATGTGGGCCACCTCCCTGGCCGGCCGGGAATCTAACTCTGCTGCAGTGCAACTGCAGATAGCTTCATAGTGCTGCAGCTTAACCCCTTGTGCCAATAGGGAGGCCCAATATCCATATTTTTTTTAACAGATGTATGTTTTTTGTAAAGAGTATAGATTGAGATTTACTTTTAAAAATTTCAGGAAAGATAAAGAAATAAAAGGATATATAAAACAAATACATAGCAAAGTCTTGATAATTGTTAAATATGGGTAAAATTATATGGAGAGTCACTGTACTGATCTCTCCACCTGTGTGTATAGCTTGAATCTTACTTTACTACAGTCCCTTGTGGAAGATAAGGGGTCAATCAAACCCAATTGAAGGGGACACTGACTTGGAAATGAAGGAAAAAAATGACAAAAAATGGGAATGTATTTCCGGACTGTGCATTTTATTTTATTTATTTATTTATTTTTAAGTATGTTTCCTCTTTTCTTTTAAAAAAAAAATTTTATTTATTTATTTATGTATTTATTTATACACACATCCATACATACATACATCCATACATACATACATACATACATACAAGCACTGGGTACAGTCAGAAGTGCAGGAGGGTGAGAGAATTCACCAGAGCCAGAGCGGAGAGGAGAACAGGCAGACTGACGAAGCACACTACTGAGGGGAGCAGCAGGCAGCAGGAGAGGTCTGCATGCCATGTGGGACCCTTGCCTGGTGGCCAGGGATTGAACCAGCACTGCAGAGGCTATGGGCAGCTTCGCAACCCAGCGTTCAACTGCTGCGCCACCGGGGAGGCCCCAGACTGTGCATTTTAAACAGTATTTCTAACAGTCTGGAGGTGTTTGAATCTACTGGAAGAAGCACTAAATTTAAATTAGTTTTTTTTTTTTTTTTAAGATTTATCTATTTTATGCATACAAGAACTGGGGCACAGGCCGGAGGCACAGGGCGTAGGTGGGGGTGGTGGTGGGGGGTGGTGTGTGTGTGTGTTTTCACCAGAAACAGCAGGGAACAGAACAGGCAGACCAAACGAAACATACTGCTGAGTGGAGCGGTGGGCAAGCCCCGAGAGGTCTGCTACGCCATGTGGGCAGCTCCCAGGCCGGGGATCAAACTCCTGCTGCAGTGGCCGCGAACAGCCTCACAGGTTGCGTCCCAACCCCTTGTGCCACCAGGGAGGCCCCCAGATTAGTTTTTATAAAGGCCCTTGAGATTTACAAAGTCCTTTTTTTTTTTTTAATAGAGGCATGTTTTATTTATTTATTTATTTGTTTATACATGCACTGGGTACAGTCAGAAGCGCAGGAGGGTGAGAGAATTCGCCAGAGCCAGAGCGGGGAGCAGAGCAGGCAGAAGGACAGAAATACACTGCTGAGGGGAGCAGCGGGCGGCAGGAGAGGTCTGCGCGCCATGTGGGACCCTCCTCCGGTGGCCTGGGAGCAGCCGGGGATAGAAGCGGCACCGCAGAGGCCGCAGGCAGCTTCACAACCCAGCGCTCAACCGCTCAACCGCTGCGCCATTGGGGAGGCCCTACAAAGTCCTTTTATAGATAAGTAGATAGTAAGCAGAGGAGACAGTCTCAGTTAACCCTCACATCGACCATCTCCTTTGTGCACATGAAAAAGCTGATTATACGGCTGTTCAAGAATACCTCCCACAGGTGGCCATACGCACCTATGCACCGCAATGGCTCTTGTATTGGGCAGATACAATGATAACCTCCTAATTAAACACGTGTTTAACAGAATAGAACTTTCTTAGGTATGTGGCAAATTCTATCTTCTTAAATATTTCTTTACCTTTTCCTAAGCAATTCAATCAATAAAGTGGGTCTAAGAAAGGCAAATATTTGTGATAAAACAGGTATTATCCATCTCACAAACTACTTATTAATTACAAAGGGGTAATGAGTAACTTTACAGTAGATAAACCCAGTAGGATTATCCACACTTAAGTCAAATGATCAAGTGAACATCAACAGTGATGAGACAAAATCACATACTATCTGCCAGGGTGCAATATGAAGAATACAGTACCATTTTTGCAATATTCCTGCAAAGATGCACAGTATGAATCAAATCATGAGGAACCAGAAAACCCAAAGTGAAGATTAATTCTATTTTACACAGTAAATGACCTCTGGTTTTCGAAAGTGTTAAGGTCATGAAAGTGTATGAGATGGAGAAACCACTCCAGATTGAAGACTGAGACAAAAGACAATGAATGATCCTCACTAGGACTTTTTGCTAAAGGACATTAGTGGATCAAATGAGATTCCTGAATAGGATCTGATGATTAGATGGTAATAATTAGATGCTAATGTCCTGATTTTAATGATTATAAACCGGTTCTATAAGGATGAGCATGTTCAAAAAATATCCACTAATTCTTTATCTCTTCCTTTCAAGAGCTGGAGCCTAATTTCATTCCACTTGAATACAGATGACTCACATCTAACAAATGAAGTGATATTTTAACTTCAAAGAACAGGTCATGAAAAGTACTATAAGCTCTTCTTATTCTCTTGGATTACTTCCTCTGGAAGAAGTTACCTGCCATGGATGAGGAAATGTTAGTCTGTAACATTACCATTGGCCTGGTAAGAGTCTGAATCATCCTGACTAAGTCACAGGGGTGAGTCATCTTGAAAACATCCTCTAGTCCCTGTCAAGATTCAGTGTCCATAGCCCTAGCCAAGAGCTCATGAGTTTTCCTGAATGAAGTTGCTCCCAGATTCCCAGCCTCAGAAACTGCAGATAATAATAACCATTTATAGTTTTAGAATCAGTTTTATGGTGATATGGTAGGTAGCACTAGACAGCTAACACAAGAATCTCCTTGTTTTTAAAAAATACACTTAATGAGGCCTCCCTGGTGGCGCAAGGGGTTAAGCATCAGCACTATGAAGCTATCTGCAGCCACTGCAGCACGAGTTTGATCCCCAGCCAGGGAGGTGACCCACATGGTGCAACAGACCTTTCTCTCCTGTCTCTGCCCACTGCTCCCCTCAGCCGTGTATTTCAGTTGATCTGCCTGTTCTGCTCCCCACTCTGTCTCTGGTGAATCCTCTCACCCGCCCCTCAATACCTATGGCCTGCACTCCAGCTCTTATATGCATAAGTAAATAAATCTTTTTAAAAATACACATAATAAAAGTTCAAAAGGTGAAAAAGCATCACAGCAACTTATTCTCAAATGGCCTAGAAAATGTTTTGCACTTTTTTTAAAAAAAAAGATTTATTTATTTATGCATACAAGAGCCAGGGTGCAGGCCAAAGGTGTGGGGGGTGAGGGGGTGTGTGTGTGAGATGAGTCACAAGAGACACAGCAGGGAGCAGAACAGGCACATCTACTGAAATACACTGCTGAGGGGAGCAATGCGTGAGACAAGAGAGGTCTGCTGTGCCACGTGGGTCACCTCCCTGGCTGTGGATCGAACTCATGATGCAGTGGCTGCGGATAGCTTTACAGTGTGACTTAACCCCTTGCACCATCAGGGAGGCCCCAGTTTTGTACTTTTCTTAACTACTTTTTTGTAAGTCTAAGACTGGATAAATTAATATGGATATGGACCAGGTATTAATTAGAGAATTACTACTCACTTTAGTAAGGTGTGACAATGGCATGGTAGTTATGCTTTAAAAATCCTTATTAGAGGTAAATACTTCAGTATTTATAGCTGAAAAAATAAGCTTTCTGGGATTTGCATTACTATTACAGAAAAAACAAAAATTTATGAGGTATAGATATCTAAAAGTGGTAACCTTATTTAAATTCACTTTCATGTTCTAAAGGGTAAGGAATGCTATTTTGTTAGTAATTGAATAAATTTTTCATGTTATAATTGTGCATGACCAAAGAAAGTCGAACACAGTCAAACTGACAAATTGGGAGAAGTAGCCACAACATATGCCAAAGACAAAATGCTAGTATTTCTAACAGATAAAGGAACAAAGGGCTAAAATCCTGTTGGAAAAAATGGGAGAAAAAAACCACAAGCAGATCATTCAGAAGAGATATGACTCTTTAACATGAAAAACTGTTCAAACTCAAACACAATACTGAGATATCCCATTTCTCGCCTATAAGACTGGCAAAAATTAAAATAACGTCCAACAAATTCAGTTTGTAATGCTATGGGGAAACAAATACTCTAGACTGCTGGTAGAAATGCAAGTCAGTACAAGCTTTCTGGAGGGAAATTTGGCAATAACTAACAAAAGGAATACAATAAGGATGATCTCTCTGAGCTGGTATGGAGTGACTGTATGACGCAAAATGCAAAAAGCCTATCTACAGCATGCTGCCCTTCATGTGTAAAGAGCAAAGATAAGGAAAAAATACGCATGTATCTGTTCATTGTGCAGAAGAAACACACAAAGAATAAACTAGAAACTAAAGAGAATGGTCCCTTGTATGATATTCGTGGGGATGAGAATGGGGTAGAGGGAATAAAGAGGATGACACTGAGTAAACCTTCCTGTGCAACTTTAATTCTAGGAATCACATCCCAGAATTGGTATGTTTCACATACCCTTCGCAAATTCTCCCAAAACACACACACACACAATAATGATGACAGAGTATCCAAAAGAACACCATCATTGTGCATGACAGGTAATGAGTAAAGAACTACTAAAGACTGCAAGAGACTAGGAGAAATAACTAAATGCAACATGAGAGCCTAGAAAAAAGACATTCGTGGAAAATTTGGTGAAATTTAAATAAGGTTTTCAGTCTTACCAACAATATTTACCAATCTTAATTTCCTGGTCTTGATAATTGTATAATAAATTGTTAACATTAGGAGAAGCCTGACAAGGGATATATAGATTATTTAAATATATGTATTATTTTTGCCACTTTAATAAGTTCAAAAATAATTCAAAATAGAAAGTTTTATAAAACACACATACATAAATGATAATGATTATAGCAGACTGACATGTATATCTAATTCTACCAGGGACAAAAACGATGACAGTAATTCAAAAACTGAGTCGAATATGAACACTAATAGCTTACATACCTCGATCATGTAGGGCTAACAAAACCCGTTCATACAAGCAGGCTCTGTATAGGTCTCCAGGAATTGGTTTTCCTGCCCAGCAGTCAAGTTCAAGCTTCTCAGGGTCAGGGGCATGGGGGTCAGGCTCAGCTAGAATATATCGATAGCCATCTTTGTTAAATGGGTGTTCCAAAGGGTAGCCATGAGGGGGAAGGCGCTGAGCAGAAAACAAAGGGTCACTGCAGAAAGGAAAAAAAAAAATTAAGAAATTAAAGCACTCTCTAGTTCAATTCTTCAATTCTGTTATTAAAAAAAGGGTTCTGATTTATTAGATTTCAGTTAGAACACAGGCAACTTCACAAATAGTATTCATTATACAAATAGATTACTATGTACTCTGTACGGAAAACAGGAAAATGCAGAGAATTAGCCTTATTTGTAAAGGTTTTATTTAAATCACTCTAGTCTGTATGAATCTGAGTCAGCACATCACAGGGGAGAAAGAGAGAAGAGGAACAGGGATGATTTCCATTAGTATTTTTATTATTATAAATAATGAGCAGAAACTCAGAGTTATGATCACTTAACTACTGTTGTCAGTCTAAACAAGACATAGCCTGAATTTCAACACCTCAGTATTGAACAAAGAAGGGAAGAAGTACGAGAGGGGAAGGCAGAAAGGTTAAGTAGAAAAGCTAACATTCAATATAGGCCTCACTCTGATTTCCTCCCCTCCTTTCTCAAGATGCCTTAAAGAACCTTGGCCAAAGGACAATGCTCTGGGTTGTTTTTGTAGTAACAAGTTTGCAAAATAGGAGACCTGGCCTCGGGTAATTTTACCCCTGAAAGTGTTAAAGATTGGAGCAAAAGTAGACAAGCTCTCCCCATCCCCCATCTTGGTTCTTCCTCATCTCTGTCTTCTTATTTACCAGTCCAAAATTCATTTATCTATTAACGCCCAAATCCAAACATTTGAGAAAATAAAGTTTTTCCATAACTCATTTGACAGTGAGACCTAGACTTCACCTCAACTCAGGCGGCAAAACCTGACTTGAAGTAACACAAGGCTGTTCTGTAGTTTTTAATCTCACCTTAAAAGTACTATTTGGGTTTTTTTGCCACAAAAATATTTCTTCCCAAAGCCTCAGTGGGGATGTTTATACTATGTCACATTATACATCCCTAAATCTGAAATATCTAGAATTGCGAGTCTCTCTTGGCCCCGGTGAATTTTGAATCATGGAGTGTAGACCATTCCCTCAGTATCTTGGTGATCTCTTTCATCTGGCCTCATGAGTTTTAATTTCTGACTCCCAAGCTTCTCTAGTTCAGTCTAGACCTCCCTTCTAAATTCCAGGCTTAAACATGCAGCTACATACTCAGCATCTCTTCTTGAATGTCTGGATGCCTTCTGTCATCCCAGTCTCTCTTCCTCCCTCTGTCTTTCCTATCTGAGTTAATGGCAAATCTGTCCTTCAGTTGCTTATGACTGTATTTGAGTCATCCTTGACACTCTCTACTAGATCACACCCAAATCAAGCAGCAAATCCTGTTGGCTCCTATCTAAGTGGGTGGGAATCAGACCACTTCTTCCCACCACCTCTGCCAATGCCCTGGTCATCTCTGCCTTATCTCAGTGGTCTCCCACTGCACTTTCTGCTTATCTTGCCCTCTCTTGCCTATTTTCAACAGCATGGTCCTTTTACAACATAGGTCAAATCATATGACTAGTCCCCTCAAAATGTATTAAAGGCTTCTTATCACACTAGAAAAAACTGCCTTTTTTCTTGGACACAAAGTCCTATGTGATGTGGACCTCCCATTCCTGTTCACCCCCTCTCCTTTTGCCCTTTGATCACTCTTGGACAGGCTTTTTTTTTTTATGGGACCCTCGCTGGTGGCCGGGGAATAAACCAGTGCTGCAGAGGTTGCGGGCAGCCTCGCAGCCCAGCACTCAACAGCTGCACCACCAGGGGAGGCCCTGGACAGGCTTTTTAACGTTAGATATCCAAGTCACTGGGAAATATAGTGTTCCCCTTATCTGCAGGGGATACATTCCAAGACCCCCACTGGATACCTGAAACCATAGACAATACTGAACACTACATAAGCTGTTTTAATCTACATATATACCTAAAGTTTAATCTCTAAATTAGATACAGTAAGAAAGTAACAACAATAAAACAGAACAATTATAACAATGAACTGTAATATCTTACTGCAAGAAATAGTGTACATATTTTCAGACCCTTGCTGACCTCAAGTAACTGAAATTAATGCAAGCTTAGAACAGAAAATTTAGCATGGAAGTTTTCATAAGGTCAAAACCAGAGGTGGCAAGATTACCACTCTTTTTTTTTAAACACTAAGCTTGCTCTTGCTTTATTTATTTATTTGTTTATTTATACAAGCACTGGGTACAGTCAGAAGTGAGGGAGGGTGAGAGAATTCACCAGAGCCAGAGCCGGGAGCAGAGAGCAGGCAGAAGGACCGAAGCACACTGCTGAGGAGAGCAGCGGGCAGCAGGAGAGGTCTGCGTGCCATGTGGGACCCTCCTCCAGTGGCCGGGGAGCAGCTGGGGATCAAACCAGCACTGCAGAGGCTGCGGGCAGCTTCGCAACCCAGCGCTCAACCGCTGTGCCCCCAGGGAGGCCCAGGATTACCACTCTTATAGAAAACAAGCCCAACCTGACTCCCTGAAGCCATAAATTCTACAAAACAAAACAAAAATTCACAAGGGATAAATCCCATGAAAGAACGATATATAAAGGACACACTATGCTCTGGCAAAACTTGCTATTGTCTTGGGCCTCCCTGTTGGCGCGGCGGGTTGAGCGCAGCGCTGTGAAGCTGTCCACAACTTCTGCAGCGCAGGTTCGGATTCCCAGCCAGCCAGGGAGATTCCCACATGGCAAGGCAGACCTCTCCTGTCACCCACTGCTCTGCTCAGCAGTGTACTTCGGTCCTTCTGCCTGTTCTGCTCCCTGCTCTGTCTCTGGTGAATTCTCTAACCTCCCTCGCCTCTGGCCTGTACCCCAGTGCTTGTATAAATAAATAAATCTTAAAAAAAAAAAAAAAAAAAAAAAACTTGCTCTTGTCTTTTAAGACTGCAGGTGTCTTGCCATGTGCTGCTGAATGGAGACTCCACTGAATTCCTTCTCAGAGGGACCCAAGAACCCCAAACAAAACCCACAGTAAATGAAATCACGGATAAAGTGATACGACTGTACAGCTCTTTTTCCTCTAATGGGCCTTTTCAGCACCAAAGAATGCTCAAACAGTGGTGAGTGGGGTGGGTGTTGTGCCCACCTCCGGGCCTTCTTGGTGGTCCCTGTGGTCCCTCCATCCTGCTGTTTGCGCTTAGCTCCTCTTCCCTTTCCACTGCTTCCTGCTGCAATTCCCCCTTTGAAAAAAAGGCAGATCACTTTAGATGAGCTGTGACAGAAACACCAGCGGGACTAACACTCCCAACGTGCATTTGTGTAACACCACAGGAGGATTTCCTGCTCAAAAGCATATTGTATTTCATCCTGGTTCTGAATGAATATGTTGAGTGTCTCACCGCCCAGAATGCTGGTTTCTGGCAGTAAGCTCATGAACCTAGTACCAATGATACCTGTGTTGCATTTTCAACTTCCTTCCTCAGTGAGCTGCAAGTACTAGTGTACTTTTTGAGGATGTGACACAAATGCATTTTTCACTCATTCAGATTCCAAATACCCATGGCTAAAAATGATTGCATGGATAAGTATTTTTCCATCCAAATCATTACACACATCCATACAGAATATCCTTGCTATAAGTGAATGCTCACTTTGCTTAAACTATACAACATAGTCCATAAACATGATAAAGGCACAATATCTGCTAAAGCACTTAACTTGACTATCCAACAAGACAAAAGTACATCAAACATAGAAAACAAAAACAGGAGTACCAAAAAGGTGTTTCTCTCCAGTGCTGCTAGGTAGCCACCATGGTTATTTAAGACACAAGTAAAAAAGACTTGGGGTGAACAATTTTCACAATGAATTAAGGTTGAACCAATGCATAAAATTCAGGTTAGACAAACCTGGTTTGTATAAGAGTAAATACCAATAGATAATTTACACATTTTATACCAAAAAAAAAAAAAATTAACTATATACAAGGCCACAAGGAACACTACCTTGTGTATTTCTGAGACAGGTACTTTGCAATTTTTGTCCAGTTCTGTCATTATTCTCAATTAGTATGTATTTCTCTCTTCCAGAAAATGTCCCTGAACTGCAGGAAAACACCTTTATGTAAACAACTCCAGAGAGTACTGTCTTTTATTGGGGCAAGCTTGGAAATTACCAGCAGTTCTGCTGCAATAAAAAGAATCAAGACATGGAAGGCAGGTCATATTCTGCATATACAGGACCAGATTTATGCAGAACTTCCTTCTATGAACACACCAGGTATTAGTCTCATAAAAGTTTATCATTGCAACATTAACATCTCTAGTTTGAGTTACCTTACTCAAAATACCACAAAATATCTTTTATTGTTGTTTTCATTTTAATCATTTCAAGAGAACTTTTAGGTTTTCTTGAACAAAACGAGCAATACCAAGTGAACTGCTGGTCATGTTAGGCAGAATATGACAACATACAAGCTTTTAATTACTACCATTAAACTGAAACTACTGTTTCATATTAAGTGCTATTGCCACCATTTTCACAATGCTTTAAAATTTTAATTTAGTTTTAGCTTCTACCACAACTCAGCAAAAAGCATTTTCCAAACCACAAAATACTTAAGTCTGAGAGGCTGAAAGGAGACAGGAGGAATTCACCTCCAAAAGAGGCTCCACCTGTAAGAACAGAAGTGGCACCATGTATTGGTCAAATTTTAACAATAAGAGGGAAAAGTGGTGTAAAAAGATAAAACAATACACTTAGTTATTTCCACCCCATCTTAGAATATAAATAACAGTGGAAATGATTATTTAGGAAGCTACCTCTCCAAAAGACAAGTTAATAATGTTATGTATCAGATGAATAGTTAGCTACCATCCACAGACTTCAACTCTTCATTAGATTACCATTAGTAATGAGGGGCATGCCTGCTATTAGATAGTTACCAATAGAAGAACATGCAGAGATGCTACTATGTGAAGCTGAAAGTTCAGGGCACGAAAAATTAGAAGTTGGACCTAAGAAGTTTTGTTAAATAATGAAGCTGAATTAAGAAAGTGGAAAGCAACTTAATCTAAATTAAGTGTGAGGACACAGCTGGGGATTCTAATACAAACATTAAATCTGACCTTTAAATTGTGCCTTGTTTTATGCTAAATTTGTTTCACTTAAGACCAAACACTGTGGTTTAAAGTGAAAAAAGTTCATGTCCACTATCATCTGTCAAATTCTTGGCTAGCTCCTGAAAATTTTGTTTCCTACTTTAAAGCATCTTTGTAAATATCCAGTTAAGAATAGGAATATTTAGATTCAATAGCTTATAACTATTCCATTAATAAGAAATTAAACACTCACCATTTAGATTCCCACTGGTAGAAACAGCACTGCTTTGTTTTTGGTTATCATAAGCAGGACCAATGTTACTAAGATCCTGGAGAGAAAAATATCCAATTAAAAAGGGAAGATATAATATCAAGTCAATTGGGCAATGCTCAAAATCAGGAAAAATTCTAATAGAGTGGGAACTGAAACTTACAATCCTAAAGCACCTGCACTTGCAGGGGTCCCAAACTTGGATGCTTCAGAGATCAGCAAGTAACATGTGTGAGGTAGGCTAAGTGTAAGATTAAAGTGGTTTAGAGGTCCTCTCCGGTGGCGCAGCGGGTTGAGCGCAGCGCTGTGAAGCTGTCCGCAGCCTCTGCAGTGCGGGTTCGATCCCAGCCAGCTGTGAGAATCTGATGTGGCAAGGTAGACCTCTCCTGTCTTGCCCGCTGCTCCCCTCAGCAGTGTATTTCTGTCCTCTGCCTGTTCTGCTCCGCACTCTGTCTCTGGTGAATCCTCTCACCCTTCCACGCCTCTGGCCTGTACCCCAGCTCTTATATAAAAATAAATAAATCTTTATTTATAAATAAATAAATAAATAAAGTGGTTTAGGAATGACATGAATGGCAAGCCACAGTGAGTGGGGGGCTAACGGGGACAACTGTAAACTGGAGTGCCTAAACTCCATTTCCTTAGCTTCCTATGGGAATCTTAGCTTAATGGAATCAGATCCTTTCATTTCTTTTGTGTGTGTGTGTAGAACTGGGGTGTAGGCCAGAGGTGTGAGGGGGAAGGGAAGAGTATTCACCAGAGACAGCAGGCGAGTTAGGGAAGTCAGCTGCACCATGTGTGTTAGCTCCCTGGCTAGGGATCGAACTCAGGCCATAGCAGTGATAGCGCTGAGACTTAACCCCTAGGCCACCAAGGAGGCCCAGATCTTTTCATTTTACAAGAAAGTATAGGAATCTGTATTTCTTTGTGAAATCTTGACATTTTCCAATGTAAGAAATCAAACATTTTAAGACACAATTGAAAGACCTGAAATGGGGCCTCCCAAATCTTAGCACTATCAAGCTACTGCCAGCCACTACAGCCTGAGTTCGATGCCCAGACAGGGAGCTAACCCACATGGCACAGCAGACCTCTCCTGTCTCACCTGCCACTCCCCTCAGCAGTATATTTCAGTAGATCCGATGTTCTGCTCCCCACTTTGTCTCTGGTGAATTCTTTCATACCCCACACCTCTAGTCTAAACCCCAGTTCTTGTATGCATAAATAAAAATAAATCTTTAAAATAAAAGATCTGAAATCCTGACATGTTAAATGTGAGTGCTGCCAATGAATTAAGAATGAAAAATTTCTTTTTCCTAGATATACAACAAGAATCCTTCACAACAATGAGTATTATCAAAAGCAAAATTTAAAATGAAAGGAAAATTACAAATAATATGAAACAATACATATGTGTTAACAAGTAAAGAGACAAAAGTTAAAAAAGAAATAATCCAAGCAGACATGACTAGCTGTGAATAAGAGGAGTGATAGTGACAGGTCAGCAAAATGGTTGTAGTTAAAAATCGTGAAGTCCTAATATCCTGGGAAAGGGCCAGAACTTAAAACATTAGTCTCCTGGGTTAAAGTGGTTCTTTCTTTCCACACCCGACAGTAATTGTTTATTTGGAACCCATCAAGTCATGGACATGTAACAGCAGTGTTACTGTAAACAAAACATGAGTCTCCAAAGTGACTTAAAACCAAAAGGGAAACATAAAATTCATTAACGTACTTGATCCAAAAGTCCAAATTTGGGGTAATCTTCTTCTGGGTCCTTACTCCCAGGATCAGGGTGTTCCTTTACCAAAAAAACATCTCTTTCTTTACTCTAGAAGAAAACAGTGATTTTAGTATTACTGAAAATTTTATATTTAAATGATCAACCACCAACTCCACAATCAAATCCTAGGTATAATCTCCAAAAAGATAATATTGTTTTTTCTGATTAAAAAATACATAAACATCAAAAAATTCAAACAGAAAAACTTAAAAAAGAAGAGAACCAAAATCCTTCACCTTCACCTCAGAGATGAGCACTATTAACAGCTTGCCAATGATTTCTCCCCAGGTGTTTCCTTTAATGTTAATGACAATAATGTTCAGAATAAGTGTTTGCTTTTTCTTTAGAATCAGACAAAAACTGTCTCTGATTTCAATATAAAATTATACTTGCAAAGTTTTCAGTGTCATATATATACGACCCTGGATGATGTTCATTAAGACCAAGGTGCACCATACTGATTTTGTGTGTGAAAATTATTAAAATGTACAATTAGTGATACTATACAAGCTCCAAGATTTAATACTAAGTTGTTCTCATTTTCTTCGTCATTACATTATTTTCAGAGAGACTACACAGAAATTAATTCTTACAAAGAAAACCGGTCTTCTAATGTCACTTGTATTCGATTTTTGTCTACTTACCATTGTTTTAACAATGTTATTTGGCCAAGTCATTTTTCCAGGTCTCTGTCTGGTCGTCATGCACTCCCAATATTTATCAATAAATGGTATGATATCCTAATTTTTAAAACAAAATATATTAAGAATTTTATAGTTGCTTTCAAAGCTATGCTCACAGGAAAGGAAACTGCAGCATTTTCAGAGAACTTTGTCAGAATCAAGAGAAAAATCTATAGTCTTCTAATTACTGAACAAATATATAATTGTACCTCATTTTATTGTGTATTGTTTCATTGTATTTTGCAGATACTGCACATTTTACAAATGAAGGCTGTGGCAACTCTGCATCAAGCAAGTCTACCAGTCCATTTTTCTAACACCTCAGATATTTAGTATTTTTTAGCATTTGCTATTTTTCTAATTAATATATGTGTGCTATTTTCTAGACACAAGCTATTGCACCCGCAATAGACTGCAGTCTAGTTAAGCATAATTTTTATATGCACCAGGAAACCAAAAAAATTTACATGATTCTTTATTGTAATATTTGCTTTTTGCGATGTTCCACTGGTCTGGAACTGAAGCTGCAGTATCTCCTAGGCATGCTTATAAATGCACGCAAACAACAAGTAGATTGTGGGGAATTTCAAACATGTACATAAAATCTTAGATACACAGGGCTTACAATACAGTTGAAGGGAAAAGACCCACCCCATTCTTTTGGTTGCCATGTGAAAGATGGTTCTCAAGTTATTCTCTCTCCTAAGCTCCTGTTTCTACCTACTTGAGATGTCTCCATTTGGACAACCCAAAGGCCCTCAAACTTCCTGAGACTAAAACTGAATTCTGTATCTTACAAATCTGCTCTGCAGAATTCTATTCTTGTTCTTAATACTTAAAATTACCTATCATCCAGAATCATAAGGCAGACACACTACAGAGTCATCCTTGATTATCCTCCCACAACCTTCACATTTGAATGGCTACCAAATGAATTCTAAATTTTCAGAAATTTCTCACCAATCAGTTTTCGTTCTATTCCACTTTTTTGACTGTGGTCCTCATCATTTCTGCCTTAAATGACTAAAACAATGTCTGAGTTTGATCTTCTGGCATCAACTTTTCCCCACTCCAGACATCTTCTACAGCCCTACAACTAACATCTTCCACCAGAGTTAGTTCCATAAAAACTAAATCTTGGGCCTCCCTGGTGGCACAGCGGGTTGAGCGCAGTACTGTGAAGCTGTCCGCAGTCTCTGCAGCACCAGTTCAATCCCCAACCGCCGGGCGAGGGTCCCACATGGCGCACAGACCTCTCCAGCCACCCACTGCTCCCCTCAGCAGTGTACCTTGGTCCTTCTGCCTGTTCTGCTCCCCGCTCTGGCTCTAGTGAATTCTCTCACCCTCCCGCGCTTCTGACTATGCCCAGTGCTTGTATAAATAAATAAATAAATCTTTAAAAAAAAAAAAAGCCTGGAATAATTTCTTGTCCCAGAAAGTAAGCAAAAAAACTAATAGGGATATACCAAAAGGTTTCAAGAGTTAGCCTGACAGGGCTATACTGGGTTGATCTGGAACAATCTGAGTTTCAGAAACTCAGAAATCCAATAATGGACACTAAAAATCCATAAATTCACAGTGATAATTTAAAAAGAAAAGGATGGTGGGAAGGGAAAACATTTTACATAAGAATTGCACCAAATAAATGTATTCTGTTTTACAATAACCACTCTATCAAATGATTCAGGTATAATAAATGGTTGCTAAAATCACTATTTGAAAAGGGTCAGGAAGACAAGATATTCAGTTTCAAATTATCACCCCATGATTTACTTAATAATTATAAAGGAAAAAGGTCTCTACAATGGAAAAATCTGGAAGCTAATTCCTCTCTAACCAAGTAGTCAAATTTAGGATCAACAATAAAGCAAACCAGTAGTTTATACCTCTTGATGCCTTATTATTCTTTTCAAGATGCTATCAAAAAACCCCATGCATTAACTACAAGATACTCTTACCAGAAATGTTTAACCTGAACCTATTTATGAGGAACCAATCAGATGAAGGCAAATTAAGAAGCATCATGCTAAACAACTATCAAGGCTCTTCAAATTTTTAAACGTATAGCAGACCAAAAAAAACAACATAAAATAAAGGAACAATTCTAAATTACAGGCAAAACAGACAATTCAACTAAATGTAATGTGTGATCCTTGATTATGGCTGGATGGAGGAAAAGCTGTGAAGATATTTAGGCAACAATAATATTGAGAAAATATAAATATATACTGTATACCCAAAAAAATCCCAAATAGTTGTATTGCTTCAACATTAAATTTTTTCAGTGTGATCAACATATTGTGGTAATGAGAAAATATTGGGTAAAGCATAACATATGCAGTTTAGCCTCAGACAATTTTGGGGGAAATATAAATATAGGGGATAAAGCAAAAGTAGCAAAATTTTAACAGCTTGCAATCTAAGTAAAAAGTAAACAAATGTTCATCATACTATTTTAATTTTCCATATGTTTGAAAAAATGAAAACAGTAATTTACGGGAAAAAAACTTTTAAAAATGTAGTCACAGGGCTTCCCTGGTGGACTAGGGGTTAAGTCTCAGCACTATCATGCCATGGCCTGAGAATGATCCCCCACCAGGGAGTTAACGTGCATATGGTGCAGCAGACCTCTCCCATCCTGCCTGCTGCTCCCCTTATATATGTATTTCAGTAAATCTGTCTGTTCTGCTCCCCATTCTGTCTCTGGCGAACCCTCTCACTCCCACATACCTCTGGCCTACACGTCATTCTTCTATGCTAAAAAATAAACTAAAAAAAAAAAAAAAAAAAAAGATGGCTTCTAATATTAAAATAGTAATTTAAAAAATTAAAAATTTAGTCACAGCATGCTTTTATTTGAAGTACTTTTAAAGTATAAGAAAAAAAAGGGAAGGGGGACCCTTTGCTAACTCCTCCAGTTTACAAGATTAAGTCCAGGCTTTGTTTAGTAGAAAGGGTTGACCCTGAATTATCTGTATAGCCTATTTCAAATTATAGGTCACAATCACTTAGTAGGTTATAAAATCAATTCTGTGGGGCAAAACTAGCATTGACTACAGTATAAGGTATCATTGAGTAAAGGGAAAAGACCTGAGAGTAAACACTACTTGGTGAAATATTTGCTTCATCTTTAAATGAAAGCAGATAGATAGGAATGTACACTAGGTCACAATGGAGACATCACTGTTTTAAAATTTACTTAATTTTTATATTTCTTACCATGAACCACAGAAAAGACTCATTGGAGAGCAAGTTATCTAATTTTCAGTCCATACTTTTAGTCCTGTGGTTTTCCAGTTTAATAATGATAATTCTTGATAATGAAAGACATGTATAAACTGACCTCCTTCCCTTCTGACAAAACCTAACACAGGCAGATCAAAATAGTTAAACTAACGTGGCAAGGTTCAACTCCAGATCTGCCTATTTATTATAGGGCACACAACTGTTGGCTTTCTCCACCAAAACTATTTAAGGATTATTTCTAATGATAGCTAAGTCAAGTGACATAATGTATACAGAGTAAGAAATCAGTATATATCACATGAGATAAGATCAAAATAAGCACTGACTCTATAGTCACATATCCATCAAAACTGGGGGGAAAGCACTTGAAGAATGCAATCACAGGGCCTCCCTGGTAGTACAGGGGTTAAAAGACACAGCGCTATCAAGCTATCGCCATGCACTACAGCACGAGTTTGATCCCCAGCCAGCCAGGGAGCTGATCCACATGGCGCAGCAGACCTCTCCTGGCTCACCTGCTGCTTCCCTCAGCAGTGTATTTCAGTTGATCTGCCTGTTCTGCTCCCCACTCTCTCTGGTGAATCTTCTCACTCCCTGGGGACACCTCTGGTCTATACCCCAATTATTGCATGCATAAATAAATAAATCTTTTAAAATGAAAAAAAAAGAGGGCCTCCCTGGTGGTGCAGGTGTTGAGTGCTGCACATGAAGTTGTCCACAGCCTCTGCAGTGCAGTTTTTTTTTTTAAAGATTTATTTATTTATACAAGAACGGGGTACAGGCCATATGCGCGGGAGGGTGAAAAGATTCACCAGAGACAGAGTGGGGAACAGAAAGGCAGACTGACGAAATACAATGCTGAGGGGAGCAGCGGGCAAAACAGGAGAGGTATGGTTCACCATGTGGGGTTCTCACTGGATGGTCGGGATCGAACCCGCGCTACAGAGCCTGCAGACAGCTTCACAGTGCAGCGTTCAACCACCTGCACCACCAGGGAGGCCCTGCAGTGCAATTTTGATCCCAGCCAGCTGGTGAGATACTCACATGGCGTGGCAGACCTCTCCTGTCTCACCTGTTGCTCCCCTCAGCAGCATATTTCAGTCAGTCTGCCTGTTCTGCTCCCCACTCTGTCTCTGGTGAATTCTCTCAACCTCCTGCACATCTGGCCTGTACCCTGGTTCTTGTATAAATAAATAAATCTTAAAAAAAATAAAAGAAATAAAAGAATACAATCACAATTACATTAATTCCATCTCTACCTTATCTTTGGAGAACATGGTTTTTGGATGTTCATCCTGTGTTCGGGACTGCCATGTTAGGTTGGCCAAAGCACTAAGGCACATTTCTTTCAAGTCTATCAAAAACAAAAGGGAAGAACAGGTTACCTACCTATAGTCCTATATGCCTAATACCAAAAAAATACTTAATTAGATGACCCACAAACGAACAACTATAGCACAAAAAGTAGAGTCATCATTTGATCTAAACTGGACAATAGTAGCAATTAGTCAGAGCTAAACCCCAATGTGACTTTATCAGCTACCAGGCAAAAATCTGATTCTGGGAAGCCTGATTCCCCTTTCCTTTCCAGCTAAGTGGAAGACAACCATTTTTTGCAATAGTCTAATTTGTTCTTACTTGCTTGCTTCCGCAGGAAATAGGTATTTCCACTATGGTGGCATACATTGCAGTGAAAACTGTAGTTGGTCATGAAAGGTAGACAGGACCTGTAGAACAGACAATCCGCAATTTAATGTTCTGAACACATACTTCTTTATGAGAAGTAAATCAACAGGGATCCTTCCCCCTCAATTAGTTAGATTAAAATATTAATATATTCTTAAAACTTATCACTAAACCAACCTTATATTTTCACAAATACCTGGATTTGTCTGTCATAAAAATAATTTATACGTCACAGTGGTTAATTCAGCATCTGGTAGGTTCTCACTGGTGCCTTAACCAGGATAGTTTATTAAAAGTTTCTGTCAACTTCTCTGAAGAGGAAATGCAAATGGCCAACAGGCATATGAAAAAATGTTCAACATCACTTGTCATCAGGGAAATGCAAATCAAAACTACCATGAGATACCATCTTACACCAGTGAGAATGGCACATATTAAAAAAACTAGCAACAACAAATGTTGGCGAGGGTGTGGAGAAAAAGGAACTCTTCTGCACTGTTGGTGGGAGTGCAAACTGGTCCAACCACTGTGGAAAGCTGTGTGGAGATTTCTGGACCTACTAAACATAGAGCTTCCATATGATCCAGCAATTCCACTCCTAGGTATTTACCCAAAGGACACAGAAACATCAATTCCAAAGAGCACCTGCACCCCTATGTTTATAGCAGCACTGTTTACAATAGCTAAGCTTTGGAAACAACCCAAATGCCCAAAAATAGATGACTGGATCAAGAAGATGTGGTACATATATACCATGGAATATTACTCAGCATTCAAAAAAGATAAACACATGCAATTTGCAGCAACATGGATGGCGCTGGAAGGGATCATGCTCAGCGAAATAAGCCAAAAAGAAAAAGAAAAATACCGGATGGTCTCACTCATAGCAGGAATCTAGAAAACTTAAATAAGGGACCAGGAAAATGAATAACTATAAGAAAGTGAAAATCAAAATCAACAAAAAACTATGAACCAGAGACACTTTTAGGGGGGCAGGGGCGGGAGGGGAGGGATTGGGGTCAGAATGGGGGTGCTGCAATTGTATGGGGAATATAACAATAAAATTTATTATCTAATAAAAAAAAAAAAAGTTTCTGTCAAATTTTTGACAATAGACTTTTCTACCACATACACCAAGCACTCCCCCAAAATCCGTGACACCCAATACAAGCTTCATATATTTTCAAATATGTTTAATAATGCCTTATAATTGCAAGGTTATGTCTCCCCACTATTTGTAAGCTTAAAATAATGGGTAATAACTATCAGTATACCTATTACACCTGTGCCTTCTGGCGGTAGATAACAGGCTCAGAGCACTGAAACAATTTCCGATTAAAATGATTCCAGGAGCCTCCTTAGTAGCTCAAGCGAGCCAACCCACATGGCACAGCAGACCTATTCTGTCTCACCCAAATATGCTCCCCTCAGCATATGTTCTGCTCCCCACTCTGTCTCTGGTGACTCCCCTCACCCCCTGCACCTCTGGTCTGTAGCCCAGCTCTTTTATGCATAAATAAATAAAATAAATCTTTAAAATAAATTAATTAAATGATTCCAATTCCTACTGCTTGCTGAACAAGTAACAGGAGACAGAGACAGAAAATATGAGGCATTTATACTTGCCTCAAACTAACTTCTCACCTGCTGATCATGTTGAGATCTATTTTACATATTGACTTTTACAAAGACTACACAAAATACTCACGAGGTATCTATGCCAAAGGTATCTGCAGTGAACCATTTTGTACATATCCCACACTGCAGCTCTACCTCTCCCAACTGCCGGCCATTCTCTTCATCCACAGAGCCCGCTTGGGTATCCATCACCTCTGAAGTATCCCCAGCACCTTCCTGTGTCCACAGAGCAACCGGAGAATCAAGTTAGTTGACTCCGCTGTATTTCTGATTTGCTTAAAAACTTAAAACAAAACAAAATAGTGTGACTTGCAAACATTCAAAAACAAATACGTACTAGTGTATCTTTTCCATTAGCAGATTCTGTCTCCAAACCACCACTTACATCAACCAAGTTGGCCTCCCTATAAGATAAAGAAAGCACTCCTTTAATGAAAATTTTTGAGACGAAATTCAAAACACCTATTTCCAAAGATGAATATCAAAGCACTGTACAGGGGAACCTGACACACCTAGCGCTTTTTCAGTTAAGCCTGTTCTCAGTCTGGACGCTCAGGGCTAGAAAAGAATGGGCCATGACAGACAGGTTTACAGACAAGTCTACACGGACGCACTTGGTCTTGGGGAGGTTCGGAGAGAGGCAACTCTCCTACCCTACTTTCATAGGGGCTGTCACTTCTTCCAATCTGGCAATGCAAAGTGGGACAAGACTCTTCTGAGGTATCTGAAAGATTCCTGCTAGAAGAGGGAGCTACCAGTCCTCCGCTGAGGTACAAGGGCCAGAGATAACCACCTTGGCTCTCACAGACTGGACAGGTGAGGAAAGGGGCGCAGTCTGGGTTACAGCTCAGAGGGGACGTCAGGCGGGACAACCGTCCGGAGCAGGCAGGTCCGGAACCAGCAAGAGGAGCCTGTTGACTACGGGGTCTAGATTCGGAAGGGCAGGCGAGGGGGTGCTGGGAAGCCGCAGGATTCTGAGAGGGGCGGGCCTCCCTCCCCAAGTCCTCCTCGGGCAGCAGGACGTCTTACCCGCCTTCGGCCTCTCCGGAATTGGGCTCAGCTGCTGGAGCAGCAGCCGTGCCCTCTCCAGCCGGAGCGGCTGCTACGGCTACCACCGGCTTTGTCTCCCCTTCTTCCCCAGACGCTGCATTTGCGGCCGCTGCTGGGGCAGATCCTGCACCCACCCCCGGTCCCGGTCCCGGTCCCGGTCCCGGTCCGGTTCCCGCCGCCGCCATCGCTGCAGCCTCCCAGACTTCTCGCGACAATAGTCTCGCCCCTCGCGAGAGTTGCCGAGCGGAGGGTAATCTTCAAACAGTAAAGGCATTTTGTGGGCCCACATCGCTGGCGCGATGAGGCTGTGCTCCAGGACCACTTTAAGGATAGGGGGGCGGGCGGAAGTGGGTTGGGGCTCCGGGTTCAAATGCCACAGGCAGAACTTGGTGTAGACGAGGAGGCGCGGCTGCAAGTTGGATTTTGTTTAGGACCCACTTCGTTTCAAAGATAGTGTGCGTTTCCTTAGCCGAGACTGGAAATCACCGCACAGATAAAGGCCCTTGAAAGGTTGCCTAACGGGCTCTGAATGTGGCCCCGGTGTGCTTTGCAAACACAGTCCTCACCATTAAAAGCTTCCTCCCTCCCCAAGTAGTCTGATGGTCTGTGATGACGGCCTCTAAAGATGGGAGCTTAGAAGGCCTCCCTGGTGGTGCAAGGGGTTAAGCACCGCACTATGAAGCAATCCGCAGCCTCTGCAGCACGAGTTCGATCCCCGGCTAGCCAGGGAGCTACCCACATGGCGTGGCAGACCTCTCCTGCCTTGCACGCTGCTCCCCACAGCAGTGTATCGCAGTCTCTCTGTTCTGTTCCCCATTCTGTCTCTGGTGAATCCTCTCACCCCATCCCCCCATCTCTGGCCTGTACCCCAGCTCTTGTATGCATAAATAAATAAATTAAAAAAAAAAAAAAAAAAGATGGGAGCTTAGAATGTCTGAATCCAGAGCCCCAGCTAGGCCAGTGAGGGCCAGGAGGAGATGAGAATGAAGCATCCGACAGAAGAGGTAAGAAGCAACATGTATTCTAGAAGCTGCAGGCGCCTTAATATTGTGAAAGGAGGGAGATGAAGGCCAAAAGGTAGGGAGTTGGGAGACCCTAAGAGAAGTTTAGTGCTCGGTGAAGGCAACTGGTATGGAGTAAAGGTAAGAACGTGAGGAATCAACGACAGCATCGGTAGTACTGGAATATGTACATTATTTTAGAACCATGGTCTTCAAACGAGAATACAAACCCCTAGAAATATTCAGGCCAGGATAGTTTCCAGAAAATCGGTTTACATCCCAATTTGTAATAAATTGCCTAAGGAAGGCATACCTCTCTCCAATCCCGAATCTAATCAGTTATGTATTTGCCTGAAGGTGTCCAAATCTGCACATCAGAAAAGTTGGGAATATATAGATATTTTGATTTCTCAGTTCGTTCCCAACTTGTTTTCAACAAAATTTAAGATTTAATTGAATTACCAGTTGGTAGATTATTGAAAATTGTTGGTGATACGTGCAGAAAATAGGGGTGAAACTTTAAAAACAGATGGGATATTCCTTCCTTCAGGAGGTAGAGAAAAAAATCCTCCCAACCATGGAGTTTGTAAGATGGAGTTAGTGACCTGCATATTGTAAACAATAAAATGTGGAAAAGGAAAAAGTGATTTAAAAAAAAAAAAAGTGATTTTTACAGTGGAGAGAGTAGCAGGCATCACTTTAACCCAGTGACTAAAATTACCACTACCAGTAATGTTTTTATCATGAACTCCCTGATACGATGCATCATGAGGGCTACTTCGTCTCATGTAATGTTCTCCCAAATCCATAATTTCAGTGTAAGCAAGAGATGACATCCGCCAAATACAAAATGAGAAGCATTTTAGTAAATACCTGACCAAGTACTCTTCAAAACTATCATCATGAAAGACAAGGAAAGACTGAGTAATTGTCAGGGAGCAGGAGACCAATGATCCATGACAACTAAAGGCAATGTGCTACCTTGGATCCTGGGACAGCAAGTGGAAAAACTAGTGAAATCTAAATAGTCTAGTTAAATTTAATAGCATCATAGCAATGTCTTAGTTTTAGTCAATGTACTATGCTTATGTGAGATGTTAACATAGGGGAAGCTGAATTAGGGGCACATAAGAATTCTTTGCGATTCTTTTGTAAAACTAAAAATTGAAAACTTAAAGTTTAAAAAAACTAATTAGTGGTAGACCACCATGAAATTTGGCATGGAACTTGAAGGCATTCAAAGAATTGAATTCCACTAATTCAATGAATCCTTGATAGGAATCTGCTTCTCTATATGAAAAAAGATTGTCATCTCTTGCATTTATAAAAATGAAAAATAGTAACAGATTTGATGCTAAACCTGTTTTATCCTAACAATAATGATGGTCATGGAGATATGAATTAATTGAAATAATTCTCATCCTCATTAAGAGTTACATCATCAATAAAAACTTTAATTTTTATATTTACTATAAAAATGTATTTACTTCATCAACTGTATACTAATAACTGTATTGATAGTGCTCTCAAGAAGAAAATTTTTATATTGGAGGTTTATGGTCACAGAAATATTTTAAAGCTAATTTCAACCTTTATGCATCTTAGAGAAGTATTACAGACTTTTTAATATAAAAACAGACATAAACATTATATTTTATTTTGTGAGAAGTACAATAGAGTTCTGGATTTAAAAAGAAAATGGGATGGTATAAAATTTTCAACTATTAAAGAAAACTTGTTCACAATTTTTTTGAGTATGCGGCAGGCATCAAATCACTGCCGTGGAAATTTTTTAAAAATTTTATGTCACAATGCAAATATTTACAATCCACCTGAAATCCTCTGCAACTTATTAAACTTACAATAATAGAGCATTTTGAAGATCACTAACTTAAAACAATGTATTTCAAATTTCATGACCATACCTCACATAATACATTTTGCAATGTGACCTGGTAGGCACACTGCAGCATGGTTTTCAATTGAAGTAAGTTTCTGAAACAATCAACACTTTGAATTACGTATAAATATACATACGTGTGTGTGTGTATGTATATATATATATATGTAGTTTTTTTTTTTTTTTTACTGCCAGTAGTGATGCACTAAATTGAACTGCTTGGCGATTTGAAAAACTCTAGTGTAGTATTGTTTTCAAAAGGCCATGTAGTCTGGAAACTGAACCCTGAGCAACACCTACATTTTAAATGAAAGTCAAGGCCTCCTTGGTGGTGTAAGGGGTTACACACAGCACTGTGACGCTAACTGCAGCCTCTATAGCACGAGTTCAACGTAGGGACGGCCAGCAAGCTACCCACATGGCACAGCAGACCTCTCCTGTCTTGCCCACTGCTCCCCTCAGCAGTGTATTTCAATCAGTCTTCCCATTCTGTTCTCCACTGTCTCTCTTGAATCTTCTCATCCCCCGTACCTCTGCCTGTACCCCAGTTCTTATTGCATAAATAAATAAATCTTAAAAAAATAAATAAATAAATGAAAGTCATGAGTGATTTCAGTAGAATAGTGGCAGAATCCACATTGCAATGGATTGGGAATTGGAGGAATGACAGTAGACATAGCTGTGTGGACAAATCTTTCCAGTTCTTTCCTAAGGTATTTTATTTCTACAAAGGAAAAATCTGATTCACTATGACAAGATGTCCACATATGTCAAATCCTTGTTTTTATGTGAAATAGTACCTAAACAAACATTTGGCTCTGAAGGACAGAATAAGTGGATAAGAAATGGAAGGGATTCATCGGGGTTGGGGACTAGGCTGATTAAACAATTTCATTCATCACTAGGGAGCCAGAGGTTAAAAATATTAGAGATGGTGATTGAAAGTGGATGGAAGGCCTGAGTCCCCTGGCAAAGATGGAGAAGTTAGACTTGATGGCAGGGAGGGAACCTATTCATTTCCTGAGACCAGAAGTGAGACACAGGGCAAGCTAGGAATTAGGCAGTTTTAGGGACACTACAGGAGGGGACCTCCGAGAATTGAGGAAGGCTTCAGAGATAAGGGCAGCAAGAGGAGTGTAACTAATTCCACCTGGAAAAACAAACATCCCAGGACCAACGACAACATTGTTAACGCTGGCCTTGGTTTCCTTCAGGTGGTAAAGGGAGGCAGAGATTGGAGAAATAGAGAATGGTTTAATTTATGGACAACTTATAAGGGCAGCTATTTAACTTCAATGCAGAGATGCTCATCCTAGGACTCATCCATAAAGATAAAGAAGTAACAAATGGGGAAAGAGAAAGCTGTTAGATAAGGAATGTGAAGATCCCCTGCTCAGTAGCAAATTAAGTGAAACGGCAGAGAACTAACCAATCACAGAGAGACTGGTGGAGCTTTAGGGAAAGAAGGTATATATTCCCTGGGACACGACTCCACTTTGGCTTCCTTGCCCCTCCCTGGCCTGGTTTCATGGCCTGGGAGTCCCACTTTATTTCTGTTCCTTTTCTCCTCAATAAACTTTTTTTTTCTCTAAACAACCCTGCGCTTCTCGCTTGCTTGCCTGAGCGTCTGCGAAGTTCCTGCTGCGGCTTCGTGAGACACCAACCCGTGGGGGTCTAGTGGCTGGGACTCAGCGCTGCCCCTGCAGCCTGGGATCTGTTCCTGGCTGGGAGACTAGGCCTCACAATTCCGGTATCAGAAGGAAGAAGGATGGAATCAGAATATTTTTTCTAGGTATATTAAGGGGAACAGGGAAAATACTGGTAGCCAATGGGGGCTTGGCTGAGCTAAGATTGCACCATCTGTTGTGGCTCTAATTTACATCTTTCGTGCTTTCTTCCAACAGCACTGAGCTACATAAGTAAAATACCAAAGCTGAATGGAAATATTTGTCTGAGTTTTCAATTTTGCCAGATAGGTAGACTAAGGACTAGGAAAAAAGCAATCACAGGTGATAGTGAGGAAGCAGTCAGATAAAAAGAGCATGAGAGAAGAAAAAAATGGAGGGAACTCAGCTTCCAGAAGTTCAGACGAGAAAGTGAGAACTGAGATGATGAAAGGTTGAAGTTAGAGAATTTTTGAGATTCAGGATTCTAAGTTATTTCCTCTCTCATTCTCACAACCAGCTAACTTGTGGGCATAAGTGGGCAAGGCCAAAGTGGAACTGTTACAGGGCAGGGAGAGGGGAAGCCCAAACCCTGCAAAACTGCCTATTCTAAATGGGTTCTGCCATCCGCCGCATCAAC